GTTCGTCTCAGTTATGAGCGTAATCGTCAACAGCAGCCGATGCCCGTCGTCTCCGACGACGCCGTTCGTGTTACACCTGACGAAATTGGGGGGGAAGAAGGACCAGAAGAAAATTTCGCAGGTGCAAACGAAGAACGTCCGCGTTTTACAGAAACAGGATTGCAGATACTGGGATTTGCAGTAGCAGTACAGCGCAACGACAGTAAGATACCTGAACCGAAAACCGTCCGACAAGCTCTTACAAGTCCTCACGAGAAAAATGGCGCGAAGCCATGGACAAGGAGCTAGCAGCACTCAAGAATCGTGGTACATGGGATTTAATCCCGACTTCAGAAGTCAAAGGGAAGAAGGTACTTACCGGAAAATGGGTCTTCCGCGTCAAGACTAATGCAGATGGGTCGTTTGAAAAGTTCAAAGCGCGATGGGTCGTCCGCGGTTTCGAGCAGACTTACGGTATCGACTACGAACTAACCTTTGCTCCTGTCGGCCGACATACAAGCGTTCGGATTCTGCTTTGTGTCGCCGCCTGCCGTAATCTCCGACTTCGACAAATCGACGTCTCGAATGTGTTTCTCTACGCACCTGTCGACGCACTTATCCTGGTAGAGTACCCGCATTCTTATACTACTAACCCACCGAGCGTTTGCCGTCTGCGGAAATCTCTGTACGGCATTAAACAGGCACCACGGCTCTGGCAGCAGTATCTTCACTCGCAGCTGATCATTGCTGGATTTCGACAACTACCGTATGATCAAGGAATGTATCTACTGACCGACGGCAGCAACTACATTTTACTCGTTGCCTGCGTCGACGACATCCTATACGTCAGTACTACAGATTCTCTTGCCGAGACCTTCATACTAAAATTACAGAAAAAACTACAGCTTACCGTCTCCGAAACAGTCTCACAGTTTCTTGGACTAAACATTACCTGTTCACCGACAACTATTCATCTCACCGCTTCTAAGTATGCAGCAACACTCGCTGCCCGTTTCAACCTCACGCCTACTACAGTCTCTACACCTTACCGCTCACTACCGACTGACCACAAACCGAACACCGCACTGTTAACTTCAACCGGTTTACAGATCTATCAACAGCAGCTAGGCTGTCTACTCTTCGCCGCTGTCACCTGTCGTCCTGATCTAGCCTACGCGGCCAGTCAGCTCGCTCAGTTCCTACGCCGACCTGAGGAGGAGCATCAGCTTCATCTGCTTCGTGCGCTTCAGTATTTTATCTCGACACCTGACGTCGGATTAGTCTACAACGTCATCGGCTGTAAAACACTCTATCTACATGGTTTTGTCGACGCCGATCACGCTGCTGATTCTACTAATCGACAGTCGCGCACTGGGTTCATCTATCGACTGGAACCTATCGGACCTATCTCTTGGAATTCTACGAAGCAGGAACTAATTGCACTCTCCTCAGCTGGAGCCGAGTTTATTGCTGTCTGCACAGCAACACGCGAAGGACTTTACTTACAGGAACTACTGGAAGAAGCGAAGTTGACGACAACTACCCAGTTTACCCTACAGTGCGACAATCAAAGTGCAATTCGCATCGCACATCAACCTGATTTCGTCAACAGGACGAAGCATATTTCGCTTCGTTATTTCTTCGTCAAAGATGAAGTCGAGAAGGGGAGGATGCAATTGGTCTACTGTTCGACCAACGAAATGGCTGCCGATTTTCTCACGAAGAAGCTGACACGACAGAAGTTACAGTACTGTAACAAGCTCTGTGGAATCTTCAAGAAGTGACACTATCGACGTTCCAGAAATGAAGGGGAGTGTTGTGATATAATTGATACTTAGCATTTCTGTAAGTCGATTAAGTGTAGTTAGTGTCGAATCCTACTGTAGAAGATAAGTCCGTAGGATGACGTCAGCAAATAGCGCTCGTCAGAGGACAGTCGTTTCAGTCACGCGAACAGTCGCACCTCTTCATTAACATCTAGGGCGCATAGCGCGATAGTGACGAACAGGTACATTAGCGAATAGGTACTTTTCGTAGAACTATAAATCTCTGTTTGGTCTTTTCATTATTAACTTTGATTACCCACAAGTTCAAGTACTCAGGTTATTCAACCTTGACCTTTATATTTTACAAGACTTCCGCTGTCTTACTAGTCTACCATTCCAGCAAAGATCCTGGACCAATACTTGAGGATTTGCCAAGTATTATTGTTTATAGTTTTCTACTTAGTCTATTACAACACCAGACGATTTACTTCATCCGAAACGCACCTTTACTCTCAAAACCCAACTCAGCCGATGTTGATTGAGGGTGCATTCCTACGATGGGCCTTTCGTCGCGGCAGTTTATAGAGTGACAAAGGTTCCCACCTATTCTGCCACTCGTCAGTTTGACGCGCCGCTTTTGTGCGACTTCTGTAACGCTCGGATTGGACTCCGCAATGTACGCAAGTTGAACAAGCCAATTGAAATAATTTGTAAAGTGGTGCAGGAGACTAAGGGCGAATTCCTACAAAGTAGGATCAGAATTAGAAATGCGAAATTCATTCTTGATCTCGTTGCCCGGTCTTTAACGCTAAGATCAGAAACGATGGTGCCACCACAGCGTCGCACAGGGACCTCTGGTTGGCTGCCCCTACAAACACATTCGGGACAAAACCCAACGAGCGCTAAGCAGGGCTGACGTTTTAAAAAAAAAAAAAAATTACCCTGAGGGCTCTATTTTGGAAAAAAACCCTACCCTGATCTGTCAGTGTTCAGGAACCCAAAACCAGGCCTCTGGATAGGATTAGAAGTACTTTTTCTTGTAAGGGTACTCGTTTGTTGCCACTTTTTCTGTAAGGCTATATTTTAAAGCTACTTTGTAATATAAGGGTCATAAATATTTGTACTTTTTCACATAAGGGTATAACTCCAGCGCAGCCTTACACTTTACTGTACCGTATTTTACTGGATCTCACGTGATCAGATGATTGACATGTTGCAGATCTGATGTGATGACGTGCCTTGTGTTCAAATTATATAAGTTATAATTTATATAGGCTTGGTAGGTTGTTACTGAACCTTTTCTGTAGAGGGTACAAACCACTCCTTGTACTCCTCTCTCTTCCTAATCCAACCCCTCTTTCCTCTCGACATTTTTCCTACTCTCCTAGCTAAACCCCGCCGCCACAACCATGGCGGCCTCCTTTCACTTCCTCCTGGCCTAGTGCTACTTTAACATGGTATCAGAGCAGGACGTCCTTCCTGGGCTTGCTCCCCTCCGTGCTTCCGCTGCGTTCTCGTTCACTGCCTTCCGATTCCTGCCGTGCCGCCGTGGCGGCCATGCCCGTTCCTGCCGTGCCGTCGCGTCGTGACGCGTGGCGTCGACGCCACACTGCTGTGACGGCGCCGTGCTTACCGTCGCAGCGGCGACGTCCCACCGCTGCATCGACGCCGCGATGTGTCGGCGTCGTAATGCTGCAGTGGCAGCGTCGTCGGACGGCAGCTTGCCGCGCGATGTTCCTGGCGCCGCCACACCTGCTGCCCGCACGCCAGTCTCAAGCGTGAGGCTGGACCACGCCCCGCCCCCCTTCCCCTGTGTCCTGTAACTTGCCACAGCCGACGGCTGACTCCCGCCGGCCGTCCCACCGTCGCGGGGCCTGGCCACGTCACCGAGAGGTGCGGGTGACGCCGCCGCCGCCGCTGTTGTTGAAGCCGCCGCCGCCGCCGCTGTCGCCGCTTGCGTCGGGGCCACGCAGCCGCACGCCGTCGCCGCCGCCGCTGTCGACACTGCCGCCGCTGCCGCCGTCGCCGCCGCAGCCCCTGCGGTCGATGTCGCCGCCTCACGCACCGTGGGGTCGACCGACCTAGTGTCACGGTCACTGTGGCTGGAATGGGGGTGCTAGGTTAGGGGGTGTGTGGTGTGTTGGGTGGGTGTGTGACTACCAAGCCTAGGGGGTGTGTTCAAATTATATAAGTTATAATTTATATAGGCTTGGTAGGTTGTTACTGAACCTTTTCTGTAGAGGGTACAAACCCCTCCTTGTACTCCTCTCTCTTCCTAATCCAACCCCTCTTTCCTCTCGACATTTTTCCTACTCTCCTAGCTAAACCCCGCCGCCACAACCATGGCGGCCTCCTTTCACTTCCTCCTAGCCTAGTGCTACTTTAACACCTTGGGCTTCTCTCGACAGGGTGCGCCAAGATTTTTGTTTGTTAGCGCTGAAGTGGAGGGAATGCCGCACCTCGGTAATTTTGCTGTTATAATTTCTGTGGTCACAGGTTAGGGTGTATTTCTACATCAGTGCGTTCAGTACCAGGGAACCAAACTTCGCGAACTACCAAATCGAAATGAACAGAAATTCGCTTTTTGACCCTCGGACCTCACTGTTTCGCGTTTCAGACTGCATTTCGGGTTTGCTGTTCCTCATTCCCTAGACCCTTCATGGTCGCGACCTGAGTTCCGTTGTGAGTGATTTATGCGGCACTCGTGATTTCGTCAATTTAGTGAGCTGTAGGGTACTTGAGGGGCAGCCCAGAGGCTTGGTAAAAAAAGTGTGTTATGCACTGACTACGCAAACGTGAACAGTGTTTGGGCTGCCTATATAATTCATAGTTGCCCGACATGCGAGTTAAGGTGTTCCAAATACAATCCTTTTTGGAGTTAGGGCCGATGCCACCCTGAGTGGTCGTGCCCCTCTCGTTTCTTTTTTTGTTCTGTCATTTCTTTAACTAATGCAGTGGCGGATACGACACTACCGATACGAATTAAACTTTCAAGACGGCAAGTTTTGTATCTGTGCGTATGACTTATCGGGTGAGTGGCAGCCATAAAAAAGCGTAAACCATTACCGTAGCAAAAGAAAATGATGGCGGGAATCTCCGTCGTACGCGGGCAGGGGCCAGTTAAAAACTCGTGAATACATAAATACAAGTCGCCGATATTTCGTAGGCGTGAGATTTCCTTGCCGAAGTGGGTAGGGGGGAAGAGAAGGTGTGATATATCACGTTCAGAACTTTCTTTTCGTTTCAGGCTACCCTGTAATTTCAAGGTAGTTATTCTCCCAAGTCTGTCTTGAACACAATTGGCACTGGGGGACTTAGCCGAATCCTCCGGGTTGTGAGGTGTATGGGAGGATTGTCTCTGTTAGTGGGGGACTTAGCCGGATCCTCTGGGTTGCAAGGGTACTACAGGAGCTCTGTCTCTGCCAGTGGGGGACTTCACCAATTTTCTAGGGTCGCTCGAGGGCTGTGGGAGGAATGTCTTTAGCAGTGGGGGACTTACCGTAATCCCCCGTATAAAACACCCTATGGTGTTAATAAAAATGCAACGAAATTTTGGGTTGGGTGTAATTAAAGGCAAAAAAAATACAGCACCCAGGAGTTATGGAATGTGCATATGCTACTTTTGATTTGAATTCAACTGTACTTGTGACAGGGCATTGTTCTGAGTCCCATTCTGCTATCTGATCGCGTACCCAACGATTTGGTCCATGTGCATGCCACATCGTCTACGTACGCTGCTGATTCAGTATGCTGCCAGAGTAGCCAATCAGCTTGTGCTGCAGGCAGCCACGTTGATGCCTCCAGCCCACGCTGTGCCAGCACAGCATGGGGTGGCGAAATCAACGGCACATTTTGTCGATGCCTTCTCACGACCGGCCAGCGCACGGAATCACACATTCTGGATGGTCGTGAGAGGCATTTCATGGGCGACATGGACGAGGGAGTCGCCCACGTCCCTGCCTTCCCCTCCAACCCACTCTTGAAGTGGGTCTACCCCGCTCCGTCCTCTCATTTTCAGTTTCGACTCCAGGATGCCTTCAAGACAGCCCCTGCAAGGGCTGTCTAAGGCATCCTCTAGCTCCGTCTCTGTAACGTCCCCCCGCCATGGCCTCAGGCTCTGGCTTGTCTCGCCTTCTGACTCGAAAGGGCCCTTATGGCCAGCAGACGTTTTTACTTCGTCGGTCCTTTGCCGACGGCGATGCCGCAGCGACAGACTCTACAAGCGTCGATGCTGCTGCGACAGATTCTGCAAGCGGCGACGCCGCTGCAACAGATTCTGCAAGCGGCGATGCCGCTGCGACAGATTCTGCAAGCGGCGACGCCGCTGCGACAGATTCTGCAAGCGGCGACGCCACTACGACGGAAGGCCGTTGTCCCCTGCCGCGCGTCAGCGTGCCGAGTTTCCCGGAGCCCATTCGACGACCCCGTGGTCCTACCTTGAATCACGATGTCCATGCCCCCGCATCTCGAAGCAGGATGACAAAGCGGAAGCGCCGCTCGCACTCTGCCTCGGAGAAGTTGTACTGGCTTTCCATATTCGATGCTCAACCTGACCTCTCTGTGCGTGGACTCGCAAAGCTTGCAGGTGTCCAGCCGGTGTCGATTCGGGAGTGGAAGAATGCTCGCGAACGCCTCCGTGTCGCCGCCGGCTGCCGCAAACGCCTCGTCGGTGCCGGACGTCCCGCGAAGTACCCGACGATGGAGAGCGCCCTCTACCGACAGTTCCTGAGGCACCGCGGGAGGGGGCTTGCCGTCTCCGTCAAGCTGCTGCAGAAGTGGAGTCGCTCGTACATGCGCGTACATCATCCCAACGTCGACTGGAGAGCGTCGAGTTGCTGGACGTTCAGATTCCGCGCGCGCTGGGGCCTTACGCGTCGGGTAAAGACGAAGATGGGGCAAAAGCTCGCCGACGGTAAACTGCCGTCCCATCCTTGTTATTGATTCCCTTGCCGCGACTTTCAATATTTGATTCTTTTGATTGTCTTGCTTATCGCGTGTTCATGCCTGAATTTGTTCTCTGACTGTTTTGTTCTATGCAGACATGAGGACAAAGATCGAGAAATTCTGGGAGTTTGTCAAACAGATGCGGATTCTCAACCGGTACAACCTCGACCACATCGTGAACGCCGACCAAACCCCCCTCTTCATCGAAATGCCCCAGGAGAGGACGTTGGAGCACAGAGGCTCCCGTACGGTGCATGTGAGGACGGCCGGCTATGAAAAGGAGCGGCTCACCGTCATGTTGGCAGTCACCGCGTCGGGATTGAAGCTCCCGCCGTATGTCATCTTCAAGCGGAAGACGCTGCCAAAGATTCAGGTTCCCCCGGGTAAGAATCGCCTTTGCTTTTCACTCTGTGCATAGTGTACACCGATGCATACCCTCTGACTGTAGTTGTGGCTTGTGATTGTATCCAGGTGTCATCATCCGAGCCCAGCCGAAGGGCTGGATGGACGAGAAGCTTGTCCAGGACTGGACTACTCAAGTCCTGAACCCGTTCTTGCGCCCGCTGCGCGAATCGGGGAATAGGCGCAAGGAGGCGCTCGTCATCCTGGACTCGTACAAGGGCCACCTCACGCAAGCAGTCGGGCAGACGATGAAGCTGTGCAAACTTACCCGCGCGGTCATCCCAGGTGGTTGCACGCCTCTCATTCAACCGCTGGACGTCGCAGTGAACAAGAGCTTCAAGGCCGGCGTGCGCGGCGACTACGGCGCATGGTTTGAGCAGTTCGGCATCGACATGAAGACTGCGGCAGGTGAGCCCCTTCCTAGTCGCTTCCTCAGTAGTTTTTAGACTTCTTGCTTGTTGACGAATTCCACCGTGCCCGTTCCTAGTCGTCATCTTACCGTGCCCGTGTTCTTCTCCTCCCATTATGCTCCCATCCCATGTGCAGGAAATCTGAAGAAGCCCCCGGCTGAGCTCATCTTGAAATGGATTGCTCGGTCATGGGAGGCTGTGCCAGAGGAGCTCGTGCGTAGTTCATTCAAGACGTGCGGTATATCAAATGCGCTGGACGGCACCGAGGACAACCTCGCTCTCCGCCACCTCCGCGGCAAGCCCGACCTCGAGGTGATGGACGATGTCCACGTCGAGGAGGGCGAGAGCGGCTACATCAACCCCCTCTACGACGCCTTCATCGATGTGGACGGGGACGTCGCCGACGACGAAGAGGCGGATGCGGCGTCGCTGGCGGCTGACGACATCGACTGTGCTGAAGCGGCAACCGAAGCAGCTGAGACGAGCGCAGACAATGCAGAGACTGCATCAGCAGCAGCAGCAAGTGTTGATGTGTGGCCGGCAGAAGGCATTGCAGAGGAGGATGACGACAACTGCTGGTGGGATGAGCTTGCAGATGGGAGCGACGTCGAGATGTGGCAGGCTGGTGATGAGGAGCCTGAGGAGGACGACTAGAGCAGTGGCAGAGGCATGAGTATCTGGCGTAGTGTAAGGATTTAAAGTGTAGTGGATAATTTAGGTTCTAGGCAGAGCCAATAGGTAGAATTCAAGCCCTAGGTGGTGCCACTAACTAGTTCTATGGTTAATTCTGTTGAGTAGTAACTACGTGTACTCTAGTTGTATTGCTAACGTCTAATTCAAGAAGTTGTATACAGGAAAACGTAGAAAAAAACGTTTTTTCATCTCGGGGGGGGGGTGGTGAAATGTTTTCAAGGCCAAGGGTAGGGTGGTAACTAAATCCAGTTAAATTAAACACCCATACCCGCTCAAGCTACCCGGGGGAGCTTAATTCCGGCGGGTGTTTTATACGGGGGATTACGGTAGCTGAAATCCATGGAGGCAGCTTGATGAAGGCAGATGAAGGCAGCTTCGCCATGGAGGCAGCTTCTAGATGAAGGCAGCTTCGCCATGGAGTGGGAAGAATGGCCTCAGGGTGATGAAGCTGCCATGAAGCTTCCAGGTGATTTGAGCATGAGGTGTTTCCGCCTGGGGATAGTGGAGCCAGATGGGACGGCGGAGGGCGGTGGGCAGATTCCTCCTGGCCAACCCTCAGAGGCAGCTAGTAGCAGTGCTGCAATGCATGGGCAGGGAGGAGCGGGCAGTGGCAGCGGGGGTGGTAGGAAGGGCAGGAGAAGCAGAGGGAGTGTGGGAGGGCAGGGAGGGCAGGGAGGGCAGGGAGGGCAGGGAGGGCAGGGAGGGCAGGGAGGGCAGGGAGGGCAGGGAGGGCAGGGAGGGCAGGGAGGGCAGGGAGGGCAGGGAGGGCAGGGAGGGCAAGGAGGGCAGGGAGGGCAGGGAGGGCAGGGAGGGCAGAGAGGGCAGGGAGGGCAGGGAGATCTTTTGGAGAAATTTCTTGCAGCTGCAGCGGCACCACCTAGCACCAAGATCCCCATCGTACGCTGCCAGGCGGGGGGGTTAAGTGGGCCGTGCCGTGGCAGCGGGGAGGACCCAAGGGCGTCGTACGGGTCAGCGGTTCTGAGTGAGATGCTCATGAGGGCGGTCAAGCCGCGCTTCTGTGAGGACAAGCCGGATGGCTGTGGGCCTGCCAGTGGCCCTGGCTCCACCAGCAGTGCGTGCGGTGGTGGCAGTGAGGGGAAGGGCAGCAAGCAGGGGGCGGCGGAGTATCTGACGCCATGCCTGGGGGGAGTCAACCTGGTGGCATGTCTGCAAGAGATGCTGCTGGCGCACCCATGCTACCGCCCGGCATCACATGCTGACGTGTCAAGCACTGCTGCTGCCGAAGGCTCAGAGGCAGCCACACGCAGCGGGCGCGTGTGTGCTGTTCCGGGTTGCGGGAGGGCAGAGGGGGATGGTTTGAAGCTGAAGAGCTGTGGCGCGTGTGACAGGGCGGTGTATTGCAGCAGAGAGTGCCAGAAGGCGCACTGGCCCGCCCACAGGCTGGCGTGCCCAGGCAGGAGCAGTGGCAGGGAGGGCAGCAAGGGCAGTGCAGCAGAGCATGGGTAGAACATGGGCGAGGATGGGGGTGAGAACAGTGGCACGGGCAGTGCCAAGGGCACCACTGATGTTCACAATGGCGAAGGGGGTGGCACAAAAGCTATGTAGTGTGGCTAGCACACGGGATCAAATGGCAGAGGCAATACCGTACTGTAAAAGGTTGTAACCGGTACCAGTCTATGCAAGTCACGTCACACACCAATCCCTTCTAGCACAGATTGTTGACCCTAGGTGGTGTGCAATCCGAGATGCAGCCTTAGCCAAGTTGGGACATGTGTTACGCACCCAATATATTTATGCACGCCCTATTTACATTCGCTGACAAGCCTCCTGCTGGGCCACACAGGTGTCTGGGGGGGAGGGAAAGAATGCATCAAGTCGCCTGTTGGCTGAGATGGTTGTCAGATTGCCAGCATGACGCCACCAAAAGGGGGCCTAGTACTCGGAGGCTCGGAGCGTGTTCCTGCGATCCTCTTCCCAGACTCCCCCTCTTGCCTGAGCCTCGGCAATGCCGAGCCCAACCTCGCGTCAAACCACGCGGAACCGCGAAAAACGTCACTGCAGTGTGTGGAGCACAGTTCAGCACAAACACGTCACTCCTGAATGTGCACGCACAGCCAGCAGGCAAAGAAACATCCCCCCCCCCTTTTCCCTCCCTCCCTTCCCCCACTCCCTCATTTCGAACCCCGTGTCAAAAGCACAGATCTCCCACCCTCACTTCTTGCCGAACCTCACTTCTTGCCGGACCTCACTTCTTGCCGAACCTCGTGACTTTACAGTTAGGAGCCGCAATGTGGCTGGTCTCATAGTCCCCCACCTCCCCATCCAGAAACCCCTTCCCCACCGCCTCATCCGTCATCACCGGCAGCCCCGTCCGCTGGGCCCTCTCCACCACCCCCTCCACCCGCGCCGACCTCTCTGCCGTGCGCTGGTACGTCTGCCCCAGCACCCCGTGCATGCCTGTGCCTGTGCCTGCCCTGCCCCTGTGTCCACCAGCAGGAATTCCAAGCTGAAGTGCGCCTGGGAGTCCGTGGGGGTCTGCAGCATGGGGTGCGCCACCCGCGCCCGCACGATCATGCGTGCCACGTCAGCGATCGCCAGCTCGTACCGCTCGACGGCAAACTGCCCGAACTTCTCCACCTCCTCCAACCGGAGAGTAAACCCGCTGCACCCGCTGCTCCCACTCCCCCCACCACCGCTGCCACAGCTGCCAACACCCCTCCCGTCCTCCACCCGGCCCCCCACCTGGGTCATCCACGTGCTGCTGCTGCTCGCCCCCGCACTGTACCCGCTGCCATTCGTCGCCAGCATGCTCCCCCCCCCACCCTCCGTCACCTCACCCATCACAAACGGCACGGGCAGCGGCTTGTTGTCAAACATGAGGCGCGCCATAAAGGGCTCAGCCGTGGCGTTGGAGGGGGCGTCTTTGCCCCCCTTGCTGCCCGCAGGGGGCTTGGCCTGGCGCTTCTTGGGGTGTAGCTTGCCGTTGCGCGCCACCAGGTGCAGGCGGTGCACCGCGGGGCGGCGGGGGTCCTTGGGGTTCGGCACGGACCACAGGATGCCCAGCTCCCTGGGGGGCACGCACAGACGGGGGGGGGGGGGAAGAGGGGGGGGGGGGGGAAGGATATTCATGTCTCAAGGCGGTGCACTGAGGGGCGGCGGGGGTCCCTGCGAAGCTCCCTTGGGCACAGAGAGGAGGGATGACGAGAGAACGGGCATGTGAAGTTGCAACAACGAGGGCGTAGAATGCTGATTCGCGTACACACAAAGCACCGGTTATTTACCTGAATAGGTTGGTGGCTCACTTTTACCCTGCTGCCACTCTGTCACCCCTTTTTCGTGCATTTCCCCTTTTTCGTGCATTTCCCCTTTTCATGCATTTCCCCTTTTTCATGCATTTCCCTTTTTCATGCATTTCCCCTTTTTCATGCATTTCCCTCACCCAATCCGTGGAAAAGGGCATGCCTCCCAACACACCCACCCTCCCACTTCTCTACCTACCCCACCTCCCCACCCCCTCTTCCCCAAACTACTTCCCCTTACTCTCAATTGATCCGCATCCTGCTGATCCGCACAACCCATGGGACTTTCAGCTGTTACCTTCTCCACCCCTCTCCACACCATCCTCCTCCTCACCGCACTTGATCCACACCATCCTCCTCCTCACCGCACTTGATCCACACCATCCTCCTCCTCACCGCACCTGATCCTGATCCACGTTTGGCTCATGCCCATGCCCCCATCCGCCCCCAGCCCTGCCAGCAGCGCTCTCTTTGCCCCATATCCCCATCGCAAGTGCACGTGCGTGCGTGCCCGTGCACCAGCGCCCACGGGTCTCTTGCGTTGCCTTGGCTCACCTGATCCACGTGCGGCTCATGCCCATGCCCCCGTCAGGCCCCAGCCCTGCCAGGGGCGGCCGCATCGCCTCGTAGCCGCGCACGCGCATGTTCACGTGCAGCCGGGCGGCAGACAGGATGCAAAACGACGCGTCCCGCCGCCCGGGAAGGAGAAGCGTGTGCCGCACGCGCCAGTGAAGAGGTGGTTACCACCGGCCAACGTTATGGGCTGGAGGGGCGGGCTGGGAGCAGGAAGGGGAGGGGGAGGAGGGGGGGAGGTTTGGGGGTTGGGTGTTTGGGGTGGGTGTTTGGGGTTGGGTGTTTGGGGATTGGGTGTTTGGGGATTGGGTGTTTGGGGGTTGGGTGTTTGGGGATTGGGTGTTTGGGGGTTGGGTGTTTGGGGAAAGGAACGAGGGAGTTGATAAAGATATAGAGAGGTGGTTACCACCGGCCAAGGTTATGGGCTGGAGGCGGGCTGGGCGGACGGGGGGCGTTGGGGGCTGTGGGGGGGGAGGGTGGTGGGTGGGGGGCTGGAGGGAGGAGGTGACAACGCCGTGGCAGATTTGGTTTCATTGGTGCAGGCAGCACGTGGTGCAGGCAGCATGTGGTGCAGGCAGCATGTGGTGCAGGCAGCATGTGGTGCAGGCAGCATGTGGTGCAGGCAGCATGTGGTGCAGACAGCATGTGGTGCAGGCAGCATGTGGTGCAAACAACATGTGGTGCGGCATGTGGTGCAGCATGTGGTGCGGCATGTGGTGTGGCATGTGGTGCGGCATGTGTTGCGGCATGTGGTGCGGCATGTGGTGCAGCATGTGGTGCGGCATGTGGTGCGGCATGTGGTGCGGCATGTGGTGCGGCATGTGGTGCGGCATGTGGTGCGGCATGTGGTGCGGCATGTGGTGCGGCATGTGGCCCCGCTCGTTGCCTCCCTCCCCCGCAGCTTCGCTCCGCGACCTCCCCCTCCCCCGTCTTCCCCATTCCGCCACTCCACCTGTCCGTCGCTGCCTCAGTCGCTCCTAACCACTCCCCCTCACCCCTCCTCTCCCTCACCCCTCCTCTCCCCTCACCCCACCTCTCCCCTCACCCCTCCTCTCCCCTCACCTCTCCTCTCCCCTCACCCCTCCTCTCCCCTCACCCCTCCTCTCCCCTCACCTCTCCTCTCCCCTCACATATAACGCTTCGCTACCCACTGGGTCAAAACGAGGTTACCCAGAGGCGCAGCGGAATGCATTTACAATCTCTAGGGTGTTTTCCGTCCGCAGACGTTACATCACCCCTCCTCTCCCCTCACCCCTCCTCTCCCCTCACCTCTCCTCTCCCCTCACCCCTCCTCTCCCCTCACCCCTCCTCTCCCCTCACCTCTCCTCTCCCCTCACCCCTCCTCTCCCCTCACCCCTCCTCTCCCCTTACCTGACCCATCCCTTCCCTCCCTCGGTTGCGCTCACCTGTCGGTCACCGCGTCGGCGACTGGCGACGCTGCGAGAAGTGTGACTATGGCTGCCGCGAGGAGTGACAGTAACGAGGTGCGGAATCTCCTTGAGTTTCTCATCGTGAAAAACGCGGTCAGCCAGTAAACGACTTGAAGCAGAGGGAACGCGCCACGTGCGCGAATGTGTGGAAGTCAGGGCGTGTCCTAAGCGTACGTCCGAATGCGGTTGAGTAAGGTGAATTGCGTCTCGGAAGGATCAAATATATCTGTAAAACGGTTCGGTATGGTATTGGCCAAAAATGAACGCTTAGGACACGCCCTCAATTTCTAAGTGTCGGACGCGCCATAGCGAGCGACTGTGTGACTTCTGTTGTCTGCTTAAACGCTGTCGATTTGTAAGTGTCGGACAGCTGCCGATGTCGCATAGAGGAGAGCGTCGCACAGGCGTGCGCAGCGAGAAGCGCGTTGGAGCAGTTGGGATGCGGCATTCGACCCTGTACTATCGCGCCGTCAACCGCCTCTTGTTTGCAAGGCACAGTAGAATGAAATGGGCTGCTAGGACATGGCCTACGTACACAAGTACAATGCCATAAGAATAGTAGGGAATAAAAAGTTGCAAACCTGATGCCTCTTTACAATTGTTAGCGAATCACCTTGTATCTAGAAATAGCTGAAAATGATTTGTTTACCATTGTATGCTAGAAACGTATTCTGTTTGAAATTATACATATTTAACATTGTATTGCTTTCCAACACAAAATTTCACGATCTTGCTGAAAATATATGGAAGTTCGGATCATGCTACCAGAAGGATGTTTTATGCAGATGCACAACATACTCCTTGTTTCGAACTGCTCTAATTCCATAATCGAGCCGAGAAGCTCTTAGAGGGTAATATTTGTGCTTTTTCTAGATCAGAGAGCATTCCCCCAGGGATCTTGCATCTGCTGACGGGCTCGCGTGAATTTAGTCCGCCATTGCCTTCCTGCTTTCACTCGCTGCAGTTTGCAACTGCTTTCTCGCCACTGCTCCTCGGCCTACCCGTTAGTAACCGCTCGTGGCTGAATTGCGCGGCTTCAGTTCTCGGGAGAGCAGCCATGGCTCTCAAGGGTGGGTGGAGCAGCGTCGTTTGCACAATCGCTCTGTTCAGATCCGCGGTGAACTTCGTTACTTTACCACTGGTTTGAGTTTCCGCACACTTCTACGCACTCCGCTCCGTCGGGTTACAGAATATCTGAATTCGGCGATGTCGCGAACAGGCCGCGTTCGTGTCGCGAGCGGGTCGAAATCCCCACCAGACTCTCTACAATCACACGCGCGTGCCACACGACCGAGTTCTGATGCGTCCGATGGCCGCCGCGTGGCAGAAAAACACGCAGATCCGCCCGTTTTTTGTCAGCCTACCCTCCTCCCGTTTTTTGGAAGACGATTGGTCCTCTTCTCCCTCTGCTCCTCCTCGCCCAATCGCTCTCCAGAGAGCGACACGTGTCCCAACGAGCCCGTGGATCCAGGCATTCCGGATCATTGCCCCCCCCCCCCCCCAAATGCATCCCCCCACTCGAGATCGGAACACAACGGCAGCCGCTGCTGCTCCCTGGTGTGCCGCGTTGCCGCGTTGCCGCGTTGCCGCGTTGCCGCGTTGCCGCGTTGCCGCGTTGCCGCGTTGCCAGTCACCCAAGTCCCTTCCTCTCCGCCTCACTCACCCACCCCCTTGCCACACCTTCCCTCCGCCTCCTCCTCCTCCTGCTCCTCCTCCTCCTCCTGCTCCTCCTCCTCGAGATCGGCCCCCAGCAGCCGTCGTTGGTCTTCACGGGCAGAGCCATGCGCTCACTGACGCGCAGGCCTTTCAGTACTGCTCTTTCGACGCGTCTCAAATGATTCTTCCAACCCCCCCTTCCCCAAACCCTTCCCCCCCAAACCCCGTCCCTCCCACCCGTTCCCCCCCAAACCTCACCTCCCCCTTCCCCAGTGAGCGTGAATTGTCAGAAGGATCCTTTTCCGGGCCTCGAGATGGGCATGCAGCAGCGGCCCTTGGACTTGAAGGGGCAGCTCTACCCGCTCACTGGTGGTCCGCCCTCTGAAACCCCTCTTCCCTAACCCTCCCCCAATGCGCCCCCTCCAGTGAGTGTAAAGTGGCAGAAGGAGGTGTTTCCCGGCCTCGAGATCGACACCCAACAGCCGCCCTTGGTGTTCAAGGGGCAGCTCTACGCGCTCACTGGGGTGCCGCCCGACAGGCAGAAGATCATGGTCAAGGGCGGCCTGCTGCAGGTGAGGCAGGGCGGTCTGGTGCAGGTAGTATGTGGCGGCAGGTGATGCAGAGCAGACAGTACAGTGTAAGGCGTGCTGGTGGCAACGCTTCACATTCCGAGCCCATGTGTTCCGTGGACGAGTCAACAAGCAGCAAGCACTTCCAGCTTACATGGCTGCTGTGGTTGCTATGAGTACTCATCATCTGTCGTCACTTGTGGCTAAGCATGCATCCCTCTGGCTTCCCTGTGCTTGCGCCTGCTATGCCACATGCAGGACGATGCTGATTGGTCCAAGCTCGCCATCAAGGATGTGAGTTCCTCGAAGCCCCTTGTAGCAGTAGAAGGCCCGACGCAAAGCAGACTTCCCAGTGTTCAGAAGGGCACTCCAAATTTATGCTGCTTTTTTTATGGAAGGCTGCGTACCGCTTTGCTTTCCCCCCCATGTCACCCGCCCATGTCACCCGCCCATGTCACCCGCCTCACACGTCAGCCGCCCCACACATCACGTACCCACACTATGCCTGTTGGGCCAGCGTTTGGTGATGATAGAGACAGCGATCGCAGCCCCGGTGGCACCAGCTCATGCCACCATGCGTGTGTGCGCCACATGCTCGCTGCATGTCACCTGCGGCACGTCCTCCCTGCATGTCACGTGCCCCACATGCTCCCTGCATGTCACCTGCGCCACATGCTCCCTGCATGTCACCTGCCCCACATGCTCCCTCCCTCGCATGCCCCCCACCCTACACATGTCCACACATCCATCCACATGCTCCCTGCCCCTGTACCCCTGCAGGGCCAGCGGCTGATGATGATGGGCACAGCGGACGCAGCCCCGGTGGCGCCAGCCCAGGCGGTGGTGTTCGTGGAGGACCTGCCAGAGGACGAGCAGGAGGCCGCGGGGCAGGTGAGGGGGCAGGGGCTCTGGTGCGAACAGACAGGAGGGCTAAGGGCGGCAGGGCCAGCAATAGGTGCGAGCAGAGGGAGTAGAGACAGCCTGGGCGGTGGTGTTCGTGGAGGACCTGCCACAGGACGAGCAGGAGGCCGCGGGGAAGGTGAGGGGGGGAGAGGGTAGGGGTGAAGGCAGGTGCGGTGGAGGGGCAGGGCACAGAGGGGTGAGAGCGATGGCAGTAGTGCCGCCCTCCCCGGCAGTGGTGCTTGTGGAGGATCTGCCAGAGGAGGACCAGGTGAAAGGGCAGCGATTGTAGTGAGTGTCACAGGTGAGCAAAGAGGGGCGAGGAGATACCGACTCTGCTGAATGAGAGGCGGAACCCAGATGGGGCAGGTAATCAACATCGACTTCAGTAGACTGAACGAGAGCAAACTCTCCCCCCGCTCAGCCTGTCCCCCTTCTCAGCCTGTCTTCGTTTCAACAAACGGACTGGCCGGCCCATCTGGGGATTCGAGACAGCATGTGCTACATGCAGTGGCTTTGAGTGCCACGTGCTTTTGAGCCCCCCCCCCCCCCCCCCCCCCCCACCCAACCCGCCCCCCCTGTAAGCAGAAGGACTGGTCAGCGAGCGTTGAGAATCTGGGCAACGCGTGTGTCGTGCTACATGGAAGGTGCGATGAAATGCCATGCGTTTTGACCTCCCCTCCCCCCCCCCTCTCACCCCCGCTCTTTTTCTGCCTGCCACAGAAGGACTGGTCAGCCGGGCTGGAGAACCTGGGCAACACGTGCTACATGAATGCCACGCTGCAGTGCCTGCACTCCGTGCCGCACCTTCGATCTGCGCTCACAGAGTGAGTGCAGCCTTTGGCAGTGAGTGCAGCCCTTGGGCAGTGGAGTGCGGGTAAGGAGGATGATTGGGTGGATGAGGGAGGTGAGGGGGCGAAAGAGGAGGAGGAGAGGGTGCTGAGGCCAAGGTAAGAAAATTTTAGGGTGGTTACAAGACCAATTTTTTTCGTCGGAAGGAACGTCATGGGCACAGCATGAAGAAGAAGGTGGAGAGAGGACAAGGGAAGGTACAGGGTAGGACGGGCATAAGAGGGGTGAAAGAGTCGACAGACTGGGAAGGAATTATAACTCTCCATGCTAAATCTCCAGGTCTTTTCGAGCCGAAGGTGAAATTTTGATTTAGGGCCTAACGAGTGATCGAATTCGTCTATGTAATCTTCCGGCGCCGGTTTTCCCTTAAGCTCGTCTTCATCACACCGGCGCAAGTAGAAGCGGCACTTAAAGTGGTTATGAGCACGCTTGCTGAGCTCGACACATGCGTACTCACATCCACTTAAGTGTTGCTTCCACTTGCGCTAGTGTGAAGAAGATGAACGCAAGGGAAGACCATCGCCGGAATATTACATACGAGCATTCGATCACCTGGCCGGCCCTGAACCAAGCTTTCGCCTTCAGCTTGTAAGGGCCCGTGAACTTTGCACGAAAAGTGGTGATGCCTTCCGTGTTTGTCGTCTCCGTTACCCCTTATGCCTTCGCCCACCCGACTTACCCAGTCCTTCCTTCGCATTGCCCACCTTCTCTTTCATCCTATGCCCATGGGGTTCCCTCCGCTGCGAAAAATATTCCTTGTAACCACCCTCAAAATTTTCCTCCCTTGGCTTCGACACCACCTCCTCCTCTTTTGTCGCCCCCTCATCTCTCGCCTCCTCTCTCTATCCCCATGCCCCATATCCCCATGCCCCATATCCCCATGCCCCATATCCCCATGCCCCATATCCCCCCCACCCTGCCCCCCCATCCCAATCCCCATGCCCCATATCCCCATGCCCCATTCCCCCCCCATCCCCATGCCCATATCCCCATGCCCCATATCCCCATGCACCATATCCCCATGCCCCATCCCCATCCCCCCCTGCCCCATATCCCCATGCCCCATATCCCCATGCCCCATATCCCCATGCCCCATATCCCCATGCCCCATATCCCCATGCCCCATATCCCCATGCCCCATATCCCCATGCCCCATATCCCCATGCCCATATCCCCATGCCCCATATCCCCCCCCCCATGCCCATATCCCCATGCCCCATATCCCCATGCCCCATATCCCCATGCCCCATATCCCCATGCCCCATATCCCCATGCCCCATATCCCCATGCCCCATATCCCCATGCCCCATATCCCCATGCCCCATATCCCCATGCCCCATATCCCCATGCCCCATATCCCCATGCCCCATATCCCCATGCCCCATCCCCATCCCCATCCCCAGCCCCATATCCCCATGCCCCATATCCCCATGCCCCATATCCCCATGCCCATATCCCATGCCCCATATCCCCATGCCCCATCCCCATGCCCCATATCCCCATGCCCCATCTCCCCATGCCCCATATCCCCATGCCCCATATCCCCATGCCCCATATCCCCATGCCCCATATCCCCATGCCCCATATCCCCATGCCCCATCTCCCCATGCCCCATATCCCCATGCCCCATATCCCCATGCCCCATATCCCCATGCCCCATATCTCCATGCCTGCCTTTACCACCCCGCACCAGCTATTCCCCATCGAGTGGCATCGAGGCGGATTCGTCGCACCGCCTGGCGCTAGCTGCCAGGGACCTCTTTGGGGAGCTCGACAAGTCACGGCGCCCCGTCACTCCCCTGCGCTTCCTCATGGTGCTCCCGTCTACACCCTGCCCCTTCCTCCCCCTCCCTGCGCTTCCTCATGGTGCCCTCTTTACTGTCTCTTCACACCACCACCCCGCTGTCTCTTCACACCACCCCCCCGCTGTCTCTTCACACCACCCCCGCTGTTTCCGCCTTCCCCTCCTCCTCCCCTCCTCCCTTTCTCCCTCTCCGCTTCCTCTTGCCACGTTCTCTCCCCTCCCCTGTCATGCTCGTTCATGCCATGCCATGCCATGCCATGCCATGCCATGCCATGTCATTTGGCTCCATTCCTCCTTCCTCTCCAGATCTCCTGTGCCTTCTCCTGCCCATGCCATGCCCTCTCTTGCCCACGCCATGCCCTCTCTTGCCCACGCCGTGCCACGCCCATTGATTACATCCATCCCGTCTCTTCCCATGCCTCCTCCACTCCAACCAATCATCTACAACCGTCACACCCTCGCCCTCTCGTCCCCCTCTCTTTTGAGCCGACTCAATATCCAGAATCGTCACACCCTCGCCCTCTTGTCTCCTATTCTCCCCCCACCCTCTCTGCCCACCCAGTGGCCTGCAGCTGCTGCAGCAGAGATTCCCGCCGATGTCCTTCTCCCTCCCCTATTCCCTGTGCCGCCTTACTCTCTTTAGTCCCCCCCATCCCGCCCTTTCCCCGCTTCCTCATGGGACCCTCCCCCTTCACCTGCCATTTCCGCTTTTGCCTTCCCATGCTTTCACATCCAATCTCAAACCCCCCAGTTCTCCTCGCCAGCCACCCGTTTGTTCCAATCTTCGCACCTTGCTTCAACCCTCTCTACCCCTCTGGCTCTGCCGTGCCTCGCTCCCTCTCCGCCCCATTCTTCCCCCACCCTCTCTGCCCCCCCGGTGGCCTACAGCTGCTGCGGCAGAGATTCCCGCAGTTTGCGCAGCAGGGGGAGCATGGCGCGTACATGCAGCAGGTGGGGTATGAGCTCATGATGCAAGCATGGCATGGCATGGCGCGTACATGCAGCAGGTGAGGCGTGAACGTATGATGCAAGCATGGCACATGTGTGCCTGCAGCAGGTGGGTTGAGAGGGGAGCATGGCATGTACAACTACGGAGAAAGGAAGAACCTTTCACAATCATTTACATTGCATGTACTATTTCTTCCGCCCCTCATGACAATTCCCTTGTCCCCCTCTCCTCCTCTTTTCTCCCCCCTCCCCCCCTCGCCACCCCCAGGACGCGGAGGAGTGTTGGACGCAGCTCCTCTACTCGCTCTCTCAGCGCCTCCGCAGCGTCAGACAGCCGTACGACCCCATTTCCTCCCTTTCCCCATTCACTCCTTCGCCCCTTCACTCCTTCGCCCCTTCACTCCTTCGCCCCTTCACTCCTTCGCCCCTTCACTCCTTCGCCCCTTCACTCCTTCGCCCCTTCACTCCTTCGCCCCTTCACTCCTTCGCCCCTTCACTCCTTCGCCCCTTCACTCCTTCGCCCCTTCACTCCTTCGCCCCTTCACTCCTTCGCCCATTCACTCCTTCGCCCCTTCACTCCTTCGCCCCTTCACTCCTTCGCCCATTCACTCCTTCGCCCATTCACTCCTTCGCCCCTTCACTCCTTCGCCCCTTCACTCCTTCGCCCCTTCACTCCTTCGCCCCTTCACCCCTTCGGCCCTTTCAGCTCGCTGTGCCACCTTCAACTCCTTACGCTCCCTCTAACTCCCCTCACCTCCCCTCACCTCCCCTCACCTCCCTCTGCTCGCCCTCTAGTCGTTTGCCCCCAGTCACCGCATGGCACGCTATCCATTTACTGTTCCTCGTCCATCCACCACGTTTGGCTCAGTCTTCAGTTGGCTTCGTATGGGGAACAAAGTGACCATTTCCCTTTACCTCAGGGAACAGTGCATGCCATTTGAGTCTACTCAATGTCATCCATCTACCACTTTTGGCTGAGTCTTCAACTGGTTTTGTACGGGGAACAAAGTGTCTATATCCCTGTTCTTAGGGGAACAGTGCATGCCTCGTCCTCTTCATCGTGCTCTTCTGCTGCCCTTGTCCTTTGCCTGCCACGTCAGCTCGCAAGCTGAGGTGGACAACATCTTCGGGATTGATCTAGTCAGCAAGTGAGTGCTTTTGCTCATGCCTTACCTCATGCCGTACCCCATGCCTTACCTCATGCCTTACCTCATGCCTTACCTCATGCCTTACCTCATGCCGTACCTCATGCCTTACCGCATGCCTTACCTCATGCCGTACCTCATGCCTTACCTCATGCCTTACCCCATGCCTTACCTCATGCCGTACCTCATGCCTTACCTCATGCCCTGCCTCCCTGTTTAGGCTCTCGTTTAATAGCAGGTCACCTTGATAGTTGTCTATTCGTGCCCGAGATATAAGTGTGCTGCTGCATGTTTGTACTGGTTTATGCATCCACCTGTCTGCATGATGTCATATGCTGCTCGCTGCTGTGTGCTTATCTGTGTGTTCTGTATGTTTCTGTGCTGACAGGGTTCGGTGTGCGGAGGGTGGGGAGGGCAGTGCGGAGGAGAGTGAGGAGAAGGAGACGGCATTTATGCTCAAGTGCCACATCAGCAGCGACGTCAACCTGCTGCACGAAGGCATCAAGCACGTGTGTGCCCCGCTCCTTCCGCTCTCTATCCCTCCAGATGATGCCTGCCAATCCTTCTCTCCTCCCCCTCTCCTTTTTCCAATCACACGGTCCCACACTTCCGCAATCCCAACCTCCTCCTCACCACCTCCCCCTCCCCCCCCCTCGTCCTCCTTCCGACCTCTGCGTCTGCCGCCATGCACCCGCCTGCAGGGCCTCAAGACCGAGCTGGAGAAGGCATCAGCGTCGCTTGGCCGCTCCGCTGTTTTCACCAAGGAGTCTCTCATCGCGCGCCTTCCCCGGTGCGTCTCTCTCACCACCTGTCGCTCGTTTCTCGCCTGCTATGGTGTCCCTGGCGTCCCTCATCGCCCACCTCCCACGGTGCGCATTTTGAGTTCGACACCGCGCTTGAGTCTTGGAGGCACTCATTTCGCGGCCATCGCCTCCCCTCTCTGCCTTTCCGCGCTGCTCTCCCTCTGCCGCAAGGTTCATGCAGCCAGCTAGCTGATGGTGCCGTTTGTGCATTTCTTCTGGAAGGGAGAGGCCAAGCGCTCTCCTTATTTCACCCTGCACTGGGCTACCCTTCTCTTTCCCACTGCACGTGCACTGTGTTATCTCCCCCGTTCCGCCTGGTACTGTTCCCTCTCCCCCATTTCCGCCCACATTGCCCTCCCCAGCTACCTGACGGTGCAGTTTGTGCGATTCTTCTGGAAGCGCGAGTCGCAGCAGAAGGCCAAGATCCTCAGGGTCAGTGCGGTGTGCCCCACGTCTCGTGCCCTCTCTCTCATTCATTCACCAATCTCACGCCCCATGGCAGGTGGCATTATCCATGCCCCTTATGCCTCATGCGGCATGTCTTACTGTTTAAATTGCATACCTATGCGACATGCCACTTGCCACACGCTCCTCACCCATGCATGAGTGTAATGTGTCGTAACCCCTTGTGTTCGACGTCGTATCTCACTGTCTGTTACCATGCCCGTTGCCCCATTGCCCCAATGCCCCATGCCCATGCCCACACCCCATGCCTCGTGCTGCACGAGCAGAAGGTGACCTACCCACTCGTGCTGGACGTCTATGACTTCTGCACCCCGGAGCTCAGAGCCAAGCTGGACGGGCCCAGAAAAGTGAGTGTCTGTGCTGCATCACTGCCCGTGCTGCATCACTGCCCGTGCTGCATCACTGCCCGTGCGGCATCACTGCCCGTGCGGCATCACTGCCCATGCGGCATCACTGCCCGTGCGGCATCACTGCCCGTGCGGCATCATTGCCCGTGCGGCATGACGCCATTACCTTGCTTCACGGTTAGACTGTGGACTCGCTACTAGCTGGCTCTTGGCGTGCCACTGGTTAACTTAACTTGTGTCTTTCCAATGAGCATTCTCCCTCGTGGGTACCTCACCACGACCTTCCTCATTCCCCGCACCAACATCCAAAGTGACACCTCTTACCTCCCTTGTCCACTCAATCCCCTTCACCACCCTCCTCCACCCCATCACCCCCACCCGCCTTTCCTCCTCTCCCTTCTCTCCGCTCCTCCCCCCTTCCCCCAGCGCCTGCGCCTGGCGGAGGATATCAAAGCAGGGCTGGTGGAGGGCAAGGGGAAGGGGAAGGAGGGGGAGGCGGAAGAGGGGGGGAAGGGGGAGAAGGAGGGGGAGAAGGGGGAGGGGGCGGGGCAGAAGGAGGGGGAGAAGATGGAGGTGGAAGAGGGCAGTGCGGCTAAGGGGCTGGGGGGAGCAGCAGAGGGGAGCGGGAGTGCAGAGGGGAAGACAGGAGAGGCGGCAGCAGAGGGAACAGAGGCGAAGGGGGGGGCGGATGGGGGAGGTGAGGGGAAGGAGGGGGGAGGAGGAGCAGCAATGGATGTGGATGGCGCTGCTGGTCAATCTGAGCAGGTGAGGAAGGGTGCAGAGCGGTGAGCGGTGCAGGCCATCTGGGAAGGTGAGGAGGGGGAGAAGTAAGGCTGTATCTGGAGAAGGGAGAGGCAGGTGGCAGGTGGCATGTGGGATGGAGGAGACCTGTGCAATTAAAGGAGGCATGGGGACGGAGAGGAAGGGGAGAAGGGCTGCCAGAGAGGTTAAAGGAAAGAGCAAAAAGAGCAGAGAGGAGGATTGGTGATTGATATTCTGAGTTGTTAGGAGGGGGGGGTTAAAGAAGCTTCGGGGAAAGAGAGGGGGGAGAAGGAAGCGGTGAGACGGTTTTGGTGATAGGGGCTCGTATGCGTGGCTTTGCTTCCTGACTCCATCTGACTTGGGTTTTTGAGTCGACTCAAAAGCTCAGTCTGACTTGGGTTTTTGAGTCTACTCAAAAGCTCCGTCTGACTTGGGTTTCAAAGTTCTGACTCCAGTCCCTGTGTTTGCAGGCTTCTGGTTCCAAGGAGACAGACGGCAAGGAGGAGGGCGAAGGTAGGACTCTTTTGAATCTGCCTACCTGCCAGGTAGTTTTCCTGTTGCCCCAACTCATGCTTCTGACGTTGCCAAGTAATCTGTTCCTGTAGAGCCTGCTCTTTGGAAGCTTCTCCGTCATTGTCATAAGGCGGCCTTGCCATGTTCACCCTGGCCCTCGACTTACCGACAAGGACTAGCAAGTCCGTTGCACCAGGAATCCCGGTTGCACCTGGAATCCCGGTTGCACCAGGAATCCCGGTTGCACCTGGAATCCCGGTTGCACCTGGAATCCCGGTTGCACCTGGAATCCCGGTTGCACCTGGCATCCCGGTTGCACCTGGAATCCCGGTTGCACCTGGAATCCCGGTTGCACCTGGAATCCCGGTTGCACCTGGAATCCCGGTTGCACCTGGCATCCCGGTTGCACCTGGAATCCCGGTTGCACCTGGAATCCCGGTTGCACCTGGAATCCCGGTTGCACCTGGAATCCCGGTTGCACCTGGAATCCCGGTTGCACCTGGAATCCCGGTTGCACCTGGAATCCCGGTTGCACCTGGCATCCCGGTTGCACCTGGAATCCCGGTTGCACCTGGAATCCCGGTTGCACCTGGCATCCCGGTTGCACCTGGAATCCCGGTTGCACCTGGAATCCCGGTTGCACCAGGAATCCCGGTTGCACCTGGAATCCCGGTTGCACCTGGAATCCCGGTTGCACCTGGCATCCCGGTTGCACCTGGAATCCCGGTTGCACCTGGAATCCCGGTTGCACCTGGAATCCCGGTTGCACCTGGCATCCCGGTTGCACCTGGAATCCCGGTTGCACCTGGCATCCCGGTTGCACCTGGCATCCCGGTTGCACCTGCCTTCACACCTTCCATGTCATCCACGTGTCACATTCTCCCGTGTCACCCTCCCCCCTTGCAGCCACGGGGCTGTTTGACTTAACGGCGGTGCTCACCCACAAGGGGAGGAGCGCTGACTCGGGGCACTATGTGGCGTGGGTGAAGCAGGAGAGCGGTATGTGGCATGGATGGGGGCAGGAGAGTGGTATGTGGCATGGATGGGGGCAGGAGAGTGGTATGTGGCATGGATGGGGGCAGGAGAGTGGTATGTGGCATGGATGGGGGCAGGAGAGTGGTATGTGGCATGGATGGGGGCAGGAGAGCGGTATGTGGCATGGATGGGGGCAGGAGAGTGGTATGTGGCATGGATGGGGGCAGGAGAGCGGTATGTGGCATGGATGGGGGCAGGAGAGTGGTATGTGGCATGGATGGGGGCAGGAGAGTGGTATGTGGCATGAACAGTGCGTTGCCGACGTGCATCGCACCTTCATGCCACCTCCATGTCATTCCCCACAACGCCCCCCCCCCACCCCCGCGCTCCTTCCCCACCGCCCTTGGCTGCACTTCAGGCAAGTGGTTGGAGTTTGGCGACGAGCAGCCAATGATGTCCCCTACCCTCCATCTCTCCTTGCCACCTCCCCCACTCTCCCCACTTGCCGCCCGGCAGGCAAGTGGATAGAGTTTGACGACGAGCAGCCAATCATGCGCAAGGAGGAGGAGATCACCAACCTGGCAGGCGGAGGTGCGCTTTGTTACTGTCACATGAGTTTAGTCACTTTCCTCTATTCATTTCATGCCATCCGTTGCATGCCATGCCATCCCATGCCGTACGATCTCATTTCACATCATCTCACGCCATGCCATCTCATGCCACACCATCTCACGCCACACCATCTAATGCCACGCCATCTCATGCCACGCCATCTCATGCCACACCATCTCATGCCACGCCATCTCATGCCACACCATCTCACGCCACACCATCTCATGCCATGCCATCTCATGCCACACCATCTCACGCCACACCACCTCATGCCATGCCATCTCATGCCACACCATCTCACGCCACACCATCTCATGCCACGCCATCTCATGCCACACCATCTCATGCCACACCAACTCATGCCACACCATCTCATGCCACATCATTGCGCATTCCCACCTTCCAGTGCGCACACCATGCCACCCAGCACCATCATCATTGCTGCCTTTCCTTCTCCTCCTGTGCGCGCACGGCTTTCCAGGGGGGCATGGCTGTTTGTGACCATCGCTAGCCTCAGCCGTGACAACGCCACCTTGGCACCCCCGTGACTCGTCTCAACCCATGCTGCCTCCCCACTCCTGCAGGCGACTGGCACATGGCCTACATTCTGCTCTACAAGGCCCGTCTCGGGTAGCGCCGCCTCTCTCTTGTCTCTTGCTGCCCGTCACTGGAGCACAAACCCGACATGTGTGACTGCTGCGCGGCAGCTGCAGGCCTACCAGTATTGAGTTGGATAAGAGTGGGATGCCATGCTCCTATTATTCCGAAATGACTGCTTTCAGCATATGGCTTGAAGGGAAGGTTGGGTTCGGCTGGGTACATAGCGTTTGAGAGTGGGTGGGACCAAAGTTACTGTACTGCTGATTCTGAGCTCATCAGGAAAAAAATCCTTCATTGCCAACCAGACCAGGTCCTACCGCCATACCACACCATACCCCACTTGCCGACGCCAAGGCTGCAGTGCTGTGCACAATTTGTGGAAAGCGCTACCGAGTTGGGGAGAGGAAATAGGTAGGTAGTCTGATGTCAAACATGTGTAGTCGTTATGTTTGTATAGACTGTATAGGGTCACCTCTTAGAGGGTACAATTCTTAGGTATATCTTTCTGTACTCTCTCACTAGTCATCATTCTCTTCTCCAATTCTGATATCTGAAACCATTGAGGGAACAGCTGCTAGATGTTGCTTTATCAGGCCATACAATCAGGTGTTAGTCCCGTCACTTATAGTTTTGAGAATCCTTCCAGACTCCAGTAGTACCCAAACGGGCCAGAGAGGAGAATAAGGGATACTGCACAAGAGCACACAACCCATGCAGTGCGAACGCATATATAACAGCATGTTGACCTGTCCACGTCATTGCAACTACGTTGACTTTTCTATCTCTGCTCTGAGTTGCTGCGAAAAGTCATCATTGACGTCATCATCATCCCAGTCGTCCTCCCATTGGTGCACCACCTCCACGTCCTGCGCGCTCTCCTCCCAATCTGCCCCATATGGAGGATAATGGGGGGTTGGAGGGGGTTGAGGGGGGGAAGGAAGATCAGCCATGAAATAGTCAAGCATCGCCAGATTGGTGCAGTGCACCACATCCACCTCCTGCGCGCTCTCCTCCCAACCTGCAACCTGCACGATATGGGGGAAAGGTAGGGTTGGCGGAGGAGGGGGTGGGGGGGGGGGGGGGGGGGGAGGAAGAGTCAGCCACGAAACGGTGACATGAGAATCGCCAGATTGGTGCACCACCTCCACGTCCTGCGCGTTCTCCTCCCAATCTGCAGCACATGAAGGCGGAGTGAAGGGGATAGCGGGGGAGAGCGGAAGGAGAGGGAGGGGGGAAGGGCGGGTGCGGGGGAGAATGGGGAGTGCGCAGCGTCAGCCATGAAAGGGTCAAAAGAGGTACGGCCAACCCGTGACAAGAGGTCTTACTGTCACTGCTCATGTAGATAACGCGGATTCACATAACAGAGATGATAAGATAAATAGACTGGACTAAGTTGGATGCAAGTATTCCAGCATCGGTGAAAAGAACGAAATTCCGAATATGAGATCTACAGATGTCGATTGAACATACCAAATTCGTCCCAACAACAAAAAAACAGAAAAGCCCATCCGAGCTTATGTCCTACAGGAAGCTGATCTCTGTCGCGCAAGCTCAGGTTCGTCTGCTAGTAACGAGTCTCGACCTTATATCGAAAAAGCGAGTCGAGGAGCCATAAACGAGTTCGCGCGAGAGCCTCACCTTGGTTCTCGAATTCCTCGAACTCGTCATCGTCCTCAAACACGTCCATCTTCACGTCCTCCGCCGTCGGCTTCGGCTCGGGCTGTCCCGCCATCGCGTACCGTTGAATAAACTGCAACGCGCTCGATCTAAGAATGACGGAAGAAGCTTCAGCACGCAAGGGACGACAACGGAACGAGGAATCCGGGAGGCTTTGACTGACGACGAGACGGAGGTGTGAAGGTCGTGGATGCAGAATGTGATTTTTTTTTCCTTGAGTCTACGATGCTGGCGCGTGTTCAAGAAGGCTCCTTCGGGGTAATTCATTATTCGTACAAAGGTAGAACACAATACGAGCCATGTGATAAAACCACTTCATAAATATGTTATACGCTTAAAGAAAATCCCTTTTCCTTATCGAGCCTCGCTAACATCTAGTACAGCCCTGAATTTCGGAATTCCAGGCTCGGCCCGGCATTTCAGGTTCAAATTACGTTCGAGACCACCAAGCTTACACGCGGCGTCGCATCCGACACTTCCGAGTCGTGAGGCGCCCCAAACCACATCGCGTGTGTTTCGTGGCCCTCATGGAGGCTCCCTTGCTAGGTTATCTGTGCTTGTATTTAGCCCTGTGCTTCATTTGTACTTGACACTCTTTAATCACGACCTCACGACTGCAATACTCGACTCGTATGAAGTGATCCAATATGGTCCGTAGGATGTTCAAGATTGAACTTCAGTAGTGCGCTTTGCACAAGTGGTTGATCGGTCTTGTGAACCCTGTCAGACTGAATGTAACATAACAGTGTTGATTATAGCAAGAGAATACAGGGTTCATATAGTAGGGATATAAGAGAATGCGAAGGGTCTTACTAAGATGCACTTAACAGGGGTACGTTCCCTATGCGGTTCTGGATCCGACTCGGGTAACTGCCTGCACTTCGTACGTCGTATCATAGGCTTGGACTCGACAAGGGTTACGGCTCGAGTGTCACTTTCAGGAATGCAACAATTTCCTTATCGTAACATCCTATCCGGATATTATCATAATAGTATAGATTTCCGTAGGAAACATGTCAACATATTGATGTATATTGTTATAGGCTAGATATGTGCATGCCATAGCGAGTACAACACCTAGCACAAAAATACCCTGTACCACCCTTCCTAGTCTAATTCGTTACTATGAGATGGTATCACGCTAGGTTAGGTCCCCCCTCCTCGCTTACGCTTCCGCCCCTAGCCCTAGTCACAGCCTTAGTAGCGCCGCGCCACGCCGTGCCGCGTCGCCCTAGCCACGCCGTGCCCTATCTCTAGGTGCTCTAGCTCGCCCTAGCCGGCCCTAGCCACCCCAGGTCGCCCTCACCGCGGTAGCTCCCTGGCCCTGCGCTCGTCGGCCCTTCGCACGCTGGCCCCGTGCTCGCCAGCCCCGCGCTCGCTGGCCCCACACTCGCCGACCCCTAGTTCGCTGACCCCGCGCTCGCTAGCCCCGCACTAGCCAGCCCCTAGCTCGCCGACCCCATGCTCGCCAACCCCACGCTCGTCGACCCCGCGCTCGCCGGCCTAGCTCGCCGGCCCCGTGCTCGTTGGCCCCGCGCTCGCCGGCCCCTAGTTTGCTGGCCCCGCGCTCGCTGGCCCCTAGTTTGCTGGCCCCGCGCTCGCTGGCCCCTAGCTCCCCGGCCCCTCGATCGCCGACCCCTTAGCTTGCCGGCCCCTCGCTCCCCGGCACCAGTTCGCGCCGACCCCGGTCTTGCCGTGTTGCTGTGCCACAGTGCTGCGGTGCCGCAGTATCGTCGTGTCGCCGTGCCGCTATGCAACCGTGGCACCGTGCCACCGTATCGCCGTGCCGCCGTGCCAAAGTGCCGCTGTGTCGCCGTGGCACCGTGTCGCCGTGTCGTCGTGGCGCCGTGCCGTCATCAGCAACCGAGGCCGTGGGATGGCGGACACTGTGCTCCGCTTGGACGCGGAGGGTCGGGCGATCGACTTTGAGGCGTGGCTCGTCGACCTTTGCCGTCACCTGACAGGTCAGCGCCAGGACGGTTACTCCATGGCATTTTATGTCGATGGTATGCTTCCCCGCCCCGCTGCGCCTGCTGCCCTCCCTGATGCCCCCACCACTACTGAACATGAGGCATTTTCAGCTGTTGCGCTTGCTCGCGCTGTCTGGGAGTCGCGCGACGCCATAGCACAATTTGCTATTAGTCACACCCTCCCCCTGTTTGAGCGTCCCCGCTTTACTACTATAGCAAACGCCAACGACTTCTTAGATGCAGTCGTTGTACGATATTCCACGCCCTCCTCAGCCTCTGCTAGCTGCCTGATCCTCCCCATGATGTTCCCAGATCTTGCGTCCTTCCCCATTGTCGCTGACCTTGCCACTCACCTCTGCGCACTTGAGAATAGCTACCTTGCCGCTAGCACTGAGGCCCAGCTCACTACCTTTTCGCCGCCGCTTTGCGCTACCCTTTACCTCATTGCCACGCGCCTTCCTGACTGCCTCGCCACTGCCCGCGACCACTTCCTTAGTCAGCACCCAGGCGCCCTCACCCTTACCGCCTTTTTCACCGCCGTGTCTGCAATAGAGACCCGCCAGCGCACTCTCGCTCAATCTAGCGGTATTGCGGCGGTCCCTATCTTCCAGGGATGTGCTCCCTCCCAGTGCACTTACTCTGACGTCTCTATTGCTATCGATGAGACAACCCCTGCTGCTGAGACCGCCGCTGCGGCCTCAGCGTAGCCGCGTTAGGGTAGGGGCCGCCGCCCCAAGGGGGGACGTGTCGGAGGGAAGGGTGGTGGGGGTGGTGGGGGTGGTGGGGGTAGTGGAGGTGGGACGGCGGGTCAGACGAGGGGACCGGGGCTGGTGCCCCGGAGCAACAGCAGCAGCAGCCTCAGCAGCAGCAGCAGCAGCAGTAGCTATAGCAGTAGCAGTTGCAGCAGCAGCAGCAATCGCCGTGGGGATCCTCGCCGCCGTGGTGGCCTGGCGGCGCTGGTGGTGGTGGTCGTGGTGTTGGGGCGTGCCGTTCAGTGTCGGGTGGCGGCTCTTGTGTGGCCACCTGCCAGTACCAGCTTTAGTCTGGCCCCCGCTGCGGCACCGTCTGCGACCATCCCAGTCACACCGCCGCCCGCTGCTAATGCCGCCTTGACGACCTCTTTCGTCTCCGCTTTGGTCTCACGTAGGACCCTGCTGATTTGTACGCCCTGGTGCGCTGCTGTGCGCCTGCCTTTGAGCTTAACATAAATCAGATTAGGAATGCTATGTATGTCATGCATGCTAATGATTCTATTGTGATTGGACCCTATTACCCGGTGTTGCCTAGTGTAGTTTCCCCTGCTGCATCAGGCTTAGGACCCACTGCCTTGTCTAGCCTAGGCTCCACGCTAGCCCCTCTGCCGGCTGACACTACTGCTTCGCTCTCCTTTATAATCAACTCTGCTTTTTTCGCGACCACACTGCGCTCACGCCGCTTGCTACCCTTGTCGCTGTAGTGCTTGCTGACCCCCCCTCAAGTCTGGTAGTTGCCCGTAGCTCTAGTACCCTTCCCTGTCCGGCAGCTCCCTCGGGCTCTCTTACAGGCTTGCATGTCCCCTCGTTCTCTAGGAACCTAGTTGGTGTCAACTGTGTCAAGGACCTCGGCAACACCACTACGTTCTCTGGACACGAGTGGTTTGCAGTCAGTACTAAGGCCGCCACTGGTGCCCCTCTCACCACGTTCCCCGAGGACCCCGTCTCTGGCATGTTCACCCTAGACATCGTATCCCCCCAAGTGGAAGCGTCCCCCCAGATCGCCGTGTTTTCCCAGGTTACTGCAACCTGCTCGTGTCGGTCGCTCACCAACCCGTCGCTACTGTGGTACCATTGCCTAGGTCATCCCGCACTCCCGCATCTGCGTCACATGTCCCATCACTGTCTTGTCTTCGGTCTCCCTGCGTCGCTCCCAGCCCTTCCTCCCTCGCCTGTGCACAGTGCACGCCCTGCGTCGAGGGTCGGCTGCACCGTGCTCCTCAATCCTACTTGCTCCGTTCTACCACTGCGCCACTCCAAACCCTACACCTGCACCGCGTCGAGAGCGCTACTTTCTAGTGCTTGTCGATGGCTAGATGCGCTATATCACGGTGTTTCCCCTGGAGCTGAAGGCCAACGTGCCCGACGTTCTTATCCCGTGGGTCGTAGTTGCGCGAGTCCAGCGCGGCCTCCCTGTGCTGCGTCTTCACTCCGACCGTGGCGACGAGTTCGCCTCTGGTCAGCTTGGACAGTTCTGTCGTGCGGAGGGCATCACCCAGTCGTACACCCTACTGGACTCCCCGCAACAGAATGGGATCGCTGAGCGACGCATCGGTTTGGTCATGGAGGTGGCTTGTACCTCCATGATCCATGCCGGTGCACCCCATTTTCTGTGGACGCTCGCTGTTCGCTACGCCGCTCACCAGCTTAACCTGTAACCGCACTCCTAGCAGCCGCAGGTTTTGCCGACCCTTCTCTGGACATGGTTCCATGTTGAAGCGTCTGCGTTCCACGTCTGGGACTGCCTTGTTCACGTTCGTGTCTCTGGCACGAACAAGCTCACTGCCCGCACTGTCCCCTGTGTCCTACTTGGCTTCCCCCTCGACGCGTCTGACTGACACTTTTGCCATCCTCCGTCTCACCGTTTGTTTCACTCGCGTGACGTCACTTTTAACGAGTCTGTCTCCTTCTACCACCGCTTTCCCCACCGAGGTCTCCTGGGCTCCCCGCTCCTATTTTTGGATCCCACTCCCTCGGTAGCCTGCTCCTCTCCCTCTCCGTCCTGCCCCGTCTGGTGTGTCTCACGTCACTCCCCTCCTGTCGGTTGTCCCGGTCGAGGAGTCGACTGACTCTGGTGGCCCCGCGGCTCCATTTTCGTCGTTTTTTTTTGCCCCGATGTCTCCTCTTCTGCCGTCGCAGCAGCCGTCGCCGTCGCCGCCGCAGCAGCAGCCGCAATCGCCGCCGCCGCCGCAGCAGCCACCGAAGGGGTCCGCAAGCTCTGGGGTTCCTGTCGTGGCTTGTCCCGGTGGTCCTGGGGGTGGCACCTGTGCTGGAGAGGGTTCTTGTTCAGGAGGTGCTGGTTCTGGAGGTGCTGGTTCTGGAGGTGCTAGCTCTGGGGTTACTGTTGTGGCTCGTCCTGGCGATCCAGTGGGTGGCACCTGTATTGGAGGGGGTTCTCGCTCTGGAGGTGTTGGCTTGGACTTTCCCGGCGGTAGACGTGGTGCAGCTGGAGGTTCTGGTATTGGCGCGGAGCAGGATCAGTAGCAGCAATCGCCGCCGGTGTCCGGCCTTCGCCTCCTCGGTCTTCCGTCCCCTGATCACCCGCCTGCGCCTCCCCCGCCGCCGCCTCCCATGCCTATCTACGGCCCTGCGTTTCCTCCGTCGAACTCATCGCCGGCTCGTTTTCCTCCGCGTTCTCCTCCCATATCTCCTCCTGTGTCTCCTGACCATACGCCTCCGTCCCACTTCTGGTCTCGCCGTCCCTCTCGTGCTCGTCGAGCTGATGAGGAGACACACCTGCACTGATTTAGGAGATCCGCGCCACTACCTTGGCCTGCAAATCTCTAGGGACAGAGCAACATGCACCATCACACTCACACAATCACACTTGGTGCGCCAGATTCTTCAGAGGTTCGGTGTTCAGTTCTCCTCTGCACAGCCCACACCTCTGCCAGTAGATCATAGGCTCTCAGCTACAGTTCCTGAGGAGTCTGTAGATTCTAGTGGTCCGTACGCAGAGCTGGTGGATTGCCTCATGTACCTGATAACTTGCACCCATCTACAGTAGATCTTGCGTACCCTGTCAGCATCGTGGCTCGCGTTGTGGCCACATGCAGACACATACCACATCACTGGTCGGCCGCTAAGAGGGTTTTACGTTATCTAGCAAATACACCAGGCATGGGGCTAGTGCTAGGATGATACAGGCCATTGGTCCTTACAGGACACACAGATGCATCGTAGGCAGACGACGCCGAGAAGCTCAGGTCCTCCCAGGGCTACTGCTTTAGCCTAGGTGCAGGCGCCATCTCGTGGAGGTCCACACGCTTGTCGTTTGTTGCCCAGTTTAGCTGTGAGGCTGAGATCTAGCCGGTGCCATGGCGGCACAGGAGCTCCGCTGGCTGACTTTCTTGCTCACAGACTTACAGCGGCCTAGCTTTGCCTCGGTCCTGTACGCTGACAACAGGGCCATGATCCTCCTGTGTCAGCAGCCTAGACTAGAGGGGAGAGCGAAGCACATCCAGCTGCAGTTCTTCCTCCTGCGCGAGCTATAACAGCGCCACCAGGCCCGCGTAGTACACTTGGCCTCTAGTGCCAACACGACTGATATCTTTACGAAGGCGCTTGTGCGTGGAGATCATCAGCGACACTGTGTCCAGCTTGGTCTAGTTCCTATAGCTTCTTGCCTGCTAGGACCTTGATTGTGTATTCTATCTTACTGTATATTATCTTGACTGGCCTTGTGGCTTCTGTTTTAGTGGCCGGACTAGTATTTCCGCCCTGGTTTGCTTTTGTCTAGTTGGTACTCTTCTGACTGGTGTTCAGTGTCAACTTATACATATGTTGTATGTAGAAGTTATAGGCTAGCGTAGGTGTGTGTTTCTAGTGAATACAACCCCAACAGGTATATGTTCTAGGTTTCTCACACTAGTCAAACATTCTCGTATTCTAACATTCAGACCCTTGCCTCAAATGTTGGACTAGTAGTGCCACCCTGAGCAGCGTGTCTTGTGCCAGGCATTACCCCTTGTCTAGCCTAGAGGGTGTGTCAAGAGATTGATGTATATTGTTATAGGCTAGATTAGGTGCATGCCATAGCGAGTGCAATACCTAGCACAAAACTACCCTGTACCACTCTTCCTAGTCTAATTCGTTACTCTGAGAAAACATGCTATGTGAAACATACATGCATCCAAAACAAATACTAACAATTAATTAATGAGAACGAATTAATGTTTCAACATAGACGCAAGCAAGAATGCGGAAAACATAGAATTGATGACATTTGGCATACATATACTAAGGTAAGGTAGGTAAAGCGTAAGGATTTTCATGAATCTGATATTGTAACTGGCCGGCTGGTAACCTGATCCAGTCCCCAGTGCAAGCTGTTAGGTCAGTTGAACCGCCACTCATCTGGACTTCACTGCAGCAGTAGCAGCAGTTGCGTCCAACCGTCTCTCTTCCCTCATGGCGCCCTTCACCATCCCGCCTAACCACCATCCCGTCTCACCCCCGTTCCCTCCTAACCGCCGTCGGCTTGGCGCGGAGCAAGAGCCGTGGAAGCGATCATGGGAGCCAGAGAGCCTCGACGGGAACGATGGGAACGAAACCATGGGAGGGACACTCTCGAGCCCTCATCTCACTTCGTCTCATCTCATCAAGTCGATTCCACCGCCGCTTCTGGCGCGGCACCTCGCCCTCATCGTCGTCCCTCCCACGGAGCCCCCGCGCATTCAGTCAGCCGCGCGGCATTTCGGATCGCATCTCAAAGGGCTCTCGGCGAGGCGGCGAGGTTTGAGACGTCTCAAAGCTCCCCCGCGGCTTCGGCATTTCAGAATCACATTGCCGAGGACTCTTCGTGAGGCGGCGCCTTGCCACGGCCAGCACTCGAATTGTTGCCCACCCTCCATGCTTCCCCTCCCCCCCCGAACCAATCCTTTGACATCCTCAGCCCCTCCAGTCGGGGGACGGACGCACTCCAACGGAGCTAGAAAATCGCAGACTTCGTGATCAGTGGTCGTAGCCTAGAGCCTTCGCCGCCTGCAGTGTCTCTCCCTTTAGAGAGCTGACAGCTGCCCTCTTTCCAGCCTCAGAATAATCACTGGCGATGGAGCTATCCCCGATACTGCTGGCAACGATAAAAGCATGCAGCTTCACCATCGGTCGGCCGAGGGTGGCGGCCGTGGTGGCGCCGTGCGGGGTGCCTCTCCTCGTGCTACTGGCGGCCATGGCGGCGGCGCTGCCCACCGCCCTCAGCGTCCTGGCGCCGCAAGACCGTCAGTTCACCGCCCAGCCCTTTTGCGCCTCCAGATTCTCTCTGGTTCGCTTCCGGGGCGCTTCAGAGCTGTCTTGGCTCGGAAGGAGCAACCTTTCCGGCCATCAGACAGCTCTTCCTTCCAATCTTTACTACAGGATGCCTCCTCCGATCATCACATGCCTCCTCCCATCATCACATGCCTCCTCCCAGCATCACCCTGTCGCGCTGCCTCACTGCCTCACTTCCTCCGTCCGCGCCCCTCCTCACCCCTCCCCACCGCAGTGGCGGCAGTGATGGCAGTGTGGCGCGGGCTCTACAGCAGCAGCAGGGGCAGCGCGGACGTGCGGTCGTGGCGGCCGTCCTTGGACCCCTGCACCGTGCAGGCGCCCTTCCCCCTCATCTGCGCGCCCGCCGTCTCCGACCGCCCCAACCAGCGCATCGCCTCCATGTCAGCACCTATCCGCATGCCCCCCCCCCCCTTTCGCCCCCCCAGATTCCCCACCTTTCCCCCCTTCCCACACATCCTCACACACACCCCCCCTCCGGCCGACCGCCCCAACGAGCGCTCGGCCTCCACGTGAGTGCTGTCTGCAGGCCCCATCGGCTGTCTCACACCCACCACCCTCAGTATCTCTCTCACACGCTTTCCCAGTCTCTCTCCATACGCCCACCACCATGCCATGCACTCACCACCATGCCATGCACTCACCACCATGCCATGCACTCACCTCAATCACCACATGCCATCCAGTCACCACCATCCACTACACTCCCTCCACACCTGCCATTCTTATTACTCCACATTCCCCCCCACACCCACACCCACCGTTCCCCCTCTCCTCTTTTCCCATTTCCCCTCCTTTTTTTCCTCCTCTGTACTCAACTCCTCGGTGTCTTGTCTCCCCCCCGCACTTGCCTCTCCCCCTTCCCCCCCTTCCGCCCCCCTTTCCCCATTTCCCTCTCCCCCCCCACTTCCCTTCCCCCCTCTCCCCCCCCTCGCATCTCACCCGCTCAGCACCTTGTCGGGTCAGGCCCTGCGAGGAACGCTCAGTGCTGCCGTGGGCAACTTCTCAGCGCTCACTGGTTTGTGAGTTGCATGGGTCCATGCTATCATGCCATGCCACCATGCTGCCATGCCACCATGCTGCCATGCCACCATGCTGCCATGCCACCATGCTGCCATGCCACCATGCTGCCATGCCACCATGCTGCCATGCCACCATGCTGCCATGCCACCATGCCACCATGCCACCATGCCACCATGCTGCCATGCCACCATGCCACCATGCTGCCATGCCACCATGCCACCATGCTGCCATGCCACCATGCTGCCATGCCACCATGCCATGCCACCATGCTATGCTACCATGCCACCGTGCCATGCCACCACGCCACCATTCCACCATGCCACCAGGCCACCATGCCACCATGCTGCCATGCCACCATGCCACCATGCCATGTCACCATGCCATTCCACCATGCCATGCTACCATGCCACCATGCCACCATCCCATCACCTCCCATCATCCAGCCAGCATCCTCTCGGGTCTGTCCCTGCGAGGCATGGTCGGTGTTGCTGCGGGCAACTTCTGCCCTCAGCGACTTGTGAGCCGCATGGTGCCATCTGACGTCATGTCACGTCAAGTCACGTCATCTCACGCCATGTCACGCCATGTCACGCCATGTCACGTCATGTCACGTCATGTCACGTCATGTCAAGTCATGTCACATCATGTCACATCACATCATGTCACATCATGTCACATCATGCCACATACACTCTCAACATCCACCCATCATCCATCCACCCATCATCTATCCACCCATCATCCATCCACCCATCAACTATCCACCCGTCGTCATCTATCCACCAGCATTCATCCACCCACCATCTATCCACCCATCGTCCATCCACCCATCGTCTATCCACCCATCGTCCATCCACCTACCGTCTATCCACCCATCATCCATCCACCGGTCGTCTATCCACCCGTCATCTATCCACCCATCATCTATCCAGCCATCATCTATCCAGCCATCGTCCATCCAGCCATCGTCCATCCAGCCATCGTCTATCCAGCCATCGTCTATCCACCCATCGTCTATCCACCCATCGTCTATCCACCCATCGTCTATCCACCCATCGTCTATCCACCCATCGTCTTGCCCATCGTCTTGCAACGATCCCCGTTGCGCTTGCATCACCTTTTGCTAACCCATCGTCCACCCATCACCTCCGCCCCCTCCCCGCCTCCCTCCTCGCCCCCCTCCTTATGCAGTGTGCTGAACAACACACGGGTGGGCGGCACTCTGCCTCAGTTTCGCAGCTCCAAGCTGCTTGCCCTGTGAGCTGACCGTTTGCCCTGTGAGTTGACTGGTTGACCTGTGAGTTGACTGGGTGGCCTGTGAGTTGACTGGTTGACCTTTGAGTTGGGTGGGGCGCGTGAGAGTGGAGGGGGCACCTAGTTGTGCCCATGCCTCACTGCTTCTGCCTGTGACTGTCCTTCCTGGTGCACTGAGCATCTGTTTTACCTTCAGCACCGCTCTTCACCTTCAGTCACCCCTCTTGACCTCTACATGCTCAGCCTTCACTCCATCCGTTGAATCATTGCCTGATCACGGCTTCCGCGCAGCTCGATTCTCAACAGTCCCATCGAGGGCCCCATTCCCTCACTCCTCGCCACGTCACCAGTTCTTACCGCACTGTAAACCCTCTCACCTTGCTCTAGGACCTCCCCAGCAGTTTTGCATGGGTATCAAGTTGCTTGGTTTGGATTGCATGTGTTCTGTATTCTTTGTTTTTGGGAATGTGTGCATACGTGTGTCTGTGTGTTTGATGCATGTGTGAAAGAGCATCATACATCGTATCGTCTTGTATACACCATTTTTATTTTTTTATAATACGTGCCACATGCTACATGCCACAAGCCACATGCCACGTGGTACTTGACTACATGCCACATACCTACATGCCACGTGCCTACAGGCCTACATTCCCACATGCCACATACCTATATGCACTTGCCACATGCCTACATGCACTTGCCACATGCCGACATGCACTTGCCACGTGCCTACATGCACTTGCCACGTGCCTACATGCACTTGCCACATGCCTACATGCACTTGCCACGTGTCTACATGCACTTGCCACGTGCCTACATGCCCACATAACATGACACATGTCCATATGCCGCATGCTTCATGCCTACGTGCCTACATGCCTACATGCCTACATGCCTGCATGCCTACATGCCTACATGCCTCCATGACACATCGCCTCATGCCTCATGCCTCATGCCTCATGCCTACATGCCACATGCCTCATGCCACATGCGGCATGCCTACATGCCTACATGACATGTCGCCTCAGGCCTCATACCTCATGCCTACATGCCACATGCCACATGCCACATGCCACATGCCACATGCCACATGCCACATGCCACATGCCACATGCCACATGCCACATGCCACATGCCACATGCCACATGCCACATGCCACATGCCACATGCCACATGCCACATGCCACATGCCACATGCCACATGCCACATGCCACATGCCACATGCCACATGCCACATGCCACATGCCACACACCTCAGGGCCATATCAGGCACGGGAGTCAGCGGCAGCATACCAGAGGACTTCATCGCCTCCACTAAAACACTTGAATCGCTGTCAGTCAAACACTTGAATCGCTGGCAGTCAAACACTTGAATCGCTGTCAGTCAAACACTTGAATCGCTGGCAGTCAAACACTTGAATCGCTGTCAGTCAAACACTTGAATCGCTGTCAGTCAAACTCTTGAGTCGCTGTCTGTCAAACTCTTGAATCGCTGTCAGTCAAACTCTTGAATCGCTGTCAGTCAAACACTTGAATCGCTGTCAGTCAAACACTTGAATCGCTGTCAGTCAAACACTTGAATCGCTGTCAGTCAAACACTTGAATCGCTGTCAGTCAAACACTTGAATCGCTGTCAGTCAAACACTTGAATCGCTGTCAGTCAAACACTTGAATCGCTGTCAGTCAAACTCTTGAGTCGCTGTCTGTCAAACTCTTGAATCGCTGTCAGTCAAACTCTTGAATCGCTGTCAGTCAAACACTTGAATCGCTGTCAGTCAAACACTTGAATCGCTGTCAGTCAAACACTTGAGTCGCTGTCAGTCAAACACTTGAATCGCTGTCAGTCAAACTCTTGAGTCGCTGTCAGTCAAACGCTTGAATCTCTGTCAGTCAAACACTTGAATCGCTGTCAGTCAAACTCTTGAGTCGCTGTCAGTCAAACGCTTGAATCTCTGTCAGTCAAACACTTGAATCGCTGTCAGTCAAACTCTTGAATCGCTGTCAGTCAAACACTTGAATCGCTGTCAGTCAAACACTTGAATCGCTGTCAGTCAAACTCTTGAATCGCTGTCAAACAAACCTAACCGTGCTGCAGAAATCATGTGTGGGTGGGTGTTATCACACGCCATAGCATGCCCAGCTTTGAGAGATGTAATCTGGTCAGGGGATGCACCCTGCGCACAAGGTGTCAAACTTTTCACGTGCAAATTTCTATCTGTGCATCCTATCCTATCTTTCTCATACATTCCCATCCGTCTTATCCTTGATCGTGTTTCATTGTCTTCTCCCTCAAACCCTCTCGGAGCTAAACTCTCACCATTGCCATTGCCACGCATCTAGGTCCATCTAAACTTGCAACTTGTTGTCCATAATTAGGAACTCTCTCACTCTTAGTAACATTTTCCGCCTTCCAGAATCATCCGCTCTTGAACCAACCCCCCTCTCCAGTCAACCAACCCGCTGCCCCTTGCATCTGTGTGTATTTTGAGTCGACTCAAAACGCATCTGTGTGTATTTTGAGTCGACTCAAAACGCATCTGTGTGTATTTTGAGTCGACTCAAAACGCATCTGTGTGTATTTTGAGTCGACTCAAAACGCATCTGTGTGTATTTTGAGTCGACTCAAAACGCATCTGTGTGTATTTTGAGTCGACTCAAAACGCATCTGTGTGTATTTTGAGTCGACTCAAAACGCATCTGTGTGTATTTTGAGTCGACTCAAAACGCATCTGTGTGTATTTTGAGTCGACTCAAAACGCATCTGTGTGTATTTTGAGTCGACTCAAAACGCATCTGTGTGTATTTTGAGTCGACTCAAAACGCATCTGTGTGTATTTTGAGTCGACTCAAAACGCATCTGTGTGTATTTTGAGTCGACTCAAAACGCATCTGTGTGTATTTTGAGTCGACTCAAAACGCATCTGTGTGTATTTTGAGTCGACTCAAAACGCATCTGTGTGTATTTTGAGTCGACTCAAAACGCATCTGTGTGTATTTTGAGTCGACTCAAAACGCATCTGTGTGTATTTTGAGTCGACTCAAAACGCATCTGTGTGTATTTTGAGTCGACTCAAAACGCATCTGTGTGTATTTTGAGTCGACTCAAAACGCATCTGTGTGTATTTTGAGTCGACTCAAAACGCATCTGTGTGTATTTTGAGTCGACTCAAAACGCATCTGTGTGTATTTTGAGTCGACTCAAAACGCATCTGTGTGTATTTTGAGTCGACTCAAAACGCATCTGTGTGTATTTTGAGTCGACTCAAAACGCATCTGTGTGTATTTTGAGTCGACTCAAAACGCATCTGTGTGTATTTTGAGTCGACTCAAAACGCATCTGTGTGTATTTTGAGTCGACTCAAAACGCATCTGTGTGTATTTTGAGTCGACTCAAAACGCATCTGTGTGTATTTTGAGTCGACTCAAAACGCATCTGTGTGTATTTTGAGTCGACTCAAAACGCATCTGTGTGTATTTTGAGTCGACTCAAAACGCATCTGTGTGTATTTTGAGTCGACTCAAAACGCATCTGTGTGTATTTTGAGTCGACTCAAAACGCATCTGTGTGTATTTTGAGTCGACTCAAAACGCATCTGTGTGTATTTTGAGTCGACTCAAAACGCATCTGTGTGTATTTTGAGTCGACTCAAAACGCATCTGTGTGTATTTTGAGTCGACTCAAAACGCATCTGTGTGTATTTTGAGTCGACTCAAAACGCATCTGTGTGTATTTTGAGTCGACTCAAAACGCATCTGTGTGTATTTTGAGTCGACTCAAAACGCATCTGTGTGTATTTTGAGTCGACTCAAAACGCATCTGTGTGTATTTTGAGTCGACTCAAAACGCATCTGTGTGTATTTTGAGTCGACTCAAAACGCATCTGTGTGTATTTTGAGTCGACTCAAAACGCATCTGTGTGTATTTTGAGTCGACTCAAAACGCATCTGTGTGTATTTTGAGTCGACTCAAAACGCATCTGTGTGTATTTTGAGTCGACTCAAAACGCATCTGTGTGTATTTTGAGTCGACTCAAAACGCATCTGTGTGTATTTTGAGTCGACTCAAAACGCATCTGTGTGTATTTTGAGTCGACTCAAAACGCATCTGTGTGTATTTTGAGTCGACTCAAAACGCATCTGTGTGTATTTTGAGTCGACTCAAAACGCATCTGTGTGTATTTTGAGTCGACTCAAAACGCATCTGTGTGTATTTTGAGTCGACTCAAAACGCATCTGTGTGTATTTTGAGTCGACTCAAAACGCATCTGTGTGTATTTTGAGTCGACTCAAAACGCATCTGTGTGTATTTTGAGTCGACTCAAAACGCATCTGTGTGTATTTTGAGTCGACTCAAAACGCATCTGTGTGTATTTTGAGTCGACTCAAAACGCATCTGTGTGTATTTTGAGTCGACTCAAAACGCATCTGTGTGTATTTTGAGTCGACTCAAAACGCATCTGTGTGTATTTTGAGTCGACTCAAAACGCATCTGTGTGTATTTTGAGTCGACTCAAAACGCATCTGTGTGTATTTTGAGTCGACTCAAAACGCATCTGTGTGTATTTTGAGTCGACTCAAAACGCATCTGTGTGTATTTTGAGTCGACTCAAAACGCATCTGTGTGTATTTTGAGTCGACTCAAAACGCATCTGTGTGTATTTTGAGTCGACTCAAAACGCATCTGTGTGTATTTTGAGTCGACTCAAAACGCATCTGTGTGTATTTTGAGTCGACTCAAAACGCATCTGTGTGTATTTTGAGTCGACTCAAAACGCATCTGTGTGTATTTTGAGTCGACTCAAAACGCATCTGTGTGTATTTTGAGTCGACTCAAAACGCATCTGTGTGTGACGGCAGGAGTCTGAGCAACAATGGTCTCCAAGGGCCTCTGCCATCCACCCTGTCTGCCCTCACATCGCTCACCGCTCTGTAATCACCACTCTGTAATCACCACTCTGTAATCACCGCTCTATAATCACCGCTCTGTAATAACCGCTCTGTAATCACCGCTCTGTAATCACCACTGTGTATTCACCAGTCGGGATTCGGGAGTGGCCGCCAGTCTCTTCTCTATAGCACACCCACAGTCTCTATTGCACTTCACCCTCACAACCTCCCCTACTCTCACCAATTCCCCTCCTCTCACCACCTCCCCTCCTCTCACCGCCTCGCCTCCGCTTCTCTCTGCTCTATCTGGCGCGCCTGGTGTATCCCATCCTCCCCTATCCGTCTTTATCCCCCTTCGTCCCTCTCTATCCCTCCTCTCCCCATTTCCGCCCACTATATGGATCCTCCCCCCATCAGTGACATTGCTGGCAACGCCCTGTCAGGCCCTCTCCCCTTGCAGCTCGTCCGACCAGGCCTCTCTCTCAGGTGAATCTCTCTCAGGTGAATCTCTCTCAGGTGAATCTCTCTCAGGTGACTCTCTCTCAGGTGAATCTCTCTCAGGTGACTCTCTCTCAGGTGAATCTCTCTCAGGTGACTCTCTCTCAGGTGACTCTCTCTCAGGTGAAGCTCTCTCAGGTGACTCTCTCTCAGGTGAAGCTCTCTCAGGTGACTCTCTCTCAGGTGAAGCTCTCTCAGGTGAATCTCTCTCAGGTGACTCTCTCTCAGGTGAACCCACACCGGTGCATCCTCTCTCGTTTATCGCTCCTCCTCTGCCGTTAAAATATAAGTTTTCTATTGAGAGTTGTGAGGCCACAGCCAATCAAAAGAACAGAAATAACTTTTAAAGAGATGAAAGAAGTGATGGAGATAAAAGAAGAGTTCGAGATAGAAGAAGTGTTTGAGATAAAAGGAAGTTTCTGGGAAGCAAGAGTTATAGCTACTTCCCACCCACCCGCCTACGTGTCTTGCTTGTCTTCCCAGGCTATCGCCCGGCAATGCTGATCTCTGCATTCCAGCCGCCGCTGCTGCCACCACCGCCGCCACTCTCCCCCGGAACACGTCCATCTGCCCCGCCTCCCCTCCCCCGCCCGCCGCCTCCCCTCTCCCCCCGCCCGCCCCCGCCCTGCCCTCCTTTGCGATCACCCTCATCGCCGTGGGCGCTGCTGCGCTGGCTGCTGTGCTGCTGGGGGCGCTGCTGTGGCGGGTGGTGAGGCGAGGGAAGGGGAAGGGGGAGGAGCCGTTGATGGAGGGAGGCGACACAGTGGCCCATACCCGTGAGTATTTGTGGCTGCACACAAATGCCCCCCTCCACTGCCCCACGCTACGCCACTCCCTCCCCTCAGCGTGAAGCCTGTCGCCTTTGCTGTGTGGGGAGAGGGTAGGGCTTGGGGGACGAGCCGTTGATAGAGGGTGCTGACATGGTGCCGCATACCCGTGAGTGTGTGAGGATGCGTGCACGTGAGTGTGCGAGGATGCATACATACACGTTGTGAGTAAATCTGGAGGCAACCTATGGTGGTAACGCGTGCTGCTGTGGCGGGCTGTGGGGCGAGGGAAGGGGGAGGGGAACGAGCCACGGATAGAGGAAGGCGATTGAAATTTGAAAGGTGCATGTGAGTGAGGTGAGGTGGGTATGTGTGGTGGGTGGTTCGGCAAGGCAGGGGGCTGGGAGAAGGGAATGGTGCTGTACCGTCCCCACCCTCCCCCTCCCTTCTCCCTTGCAACGCCCCCCCACCCCCCCCTCCCCCCTCCCCCCAACCCCTCCCCCTCCCTCCCTCCGCCTCCGCTCCTCCGTTTGCACCCAGGCAGGGTAGCTGAGGGCCTTATAGAGTCCACCCATCCTTCTCCTTGTCTGCTCCTTCTGCTTGTCTGCTCCTTCCGCTTGTCCGCTCCTTCCGCATTTCCCCTCACCCTCTTGGTTTCCTCGCTCTCCTCTCCCGCCACCTTTCCCCCTTCCTTCTTTCCATCCTCCCCTCTTCCGCCCCCCCCTTCTCCCCCACTCCCCCCATTCCTCCCCCTCTTTTCCCCCCGTGTCCTTCCTCCCCTCCGCCCTCCTCTCCCCCACCTCCCATGCCTCGCCTCTTCTTCCCCCAGGCGAGGTGGCGGACGGGCTCACAGAGTTCCAGCTGTGGGAGCTGCAGGAAGCAACCGAGAACTTTCACTTCTCGCGCCTCATTGGCCGGGGTGGGTTCGGCCACGTGTACAAAGGAACGCTCCCTGACGGGTATGCTGCCACTCTGTGATGGGAACGACATAATAATGTCCTGGTACTATCACAAGACTACTATCTCTCTCCTTCTGATGGGTATGGTTTCAAGTCGGAAAGTGTTCGCAGCCATTTCTTAACATTTATACTCACATCCAATTTACGGCTTTTCCTTTGACTAATAGTTTCTAAATTCCGTTTTCCTGAACCACATGCATATCATTTTCCGCAAAGCACCTTTGGACGTTTAGTGGACACGTGGGACTGGCCGTGTGCGCATGTGGCACGATGATCATTCGTATCCTTCTTCGTTCTTTTACAGCTTCGTCACTCCACCCCTCGCTCCCTGCCCACGCCGCCCTCGTCTCTTCCCCCTGGAACAACGAGGTCGCCGTCGTCGAGATGCTGCACTCAATGCTGCTGCGTGAAGAGAACCTGCTGGCTGCATGCTGCTGTTCCCCACGTCCTCCCTTCCCTCTTCCAACGCCCGCCACAAGGTGCCTGTCAAGACGCTGCACGCAGCCTGGAGGGGGGCAGGGCGAGGCTGAATACCCCATAGAGATAGAGGCGATCGGCCACGTGCACCACCGCCACCGCTCCACCTCACTCCCCTCCCTCCCCTCCCTCCCCTCCCTCCCCTCACTCCCCTTGCTCCACCCCACTCCATTCACTCTTCCGTCCCCCCATCCCCTCCAGCTACGAGGTGACCGTCAAGGTGCTGCACGCCACACCCGGCCGGGGCCAGGGCGATACAGATGAAGGTGCTGGGCCATGTGCGCCGCCATCCGACCTCACACCCCTCGCTCTTGCTCCACTCACCCCCTCCAGCTACGAGGTGGCAGTCAAGATGCTGCACGCCACCCCAGGCAGGGCCCAAGGAGAGGCGGATTACCCCATTGAGATCGAGGCAATTGGCCGCGTGCACCACCTCTCCACCACACTCCACCTCACTGAACCTCACTCCCCTCGCTCTTGTCCACTTCATCCCATTCAGCTACGAGGTGGCAGTGAAGATGCTGCATGCGAACCCAGGGGGGGGGCAAGGAGAGGCGGAGTACCGCATCGAGATCGAGGTGATCGGGCACGTGCACCACCGCAACCTCGTGCAGCTCGTGGGCTTCTGCTGCGAGGGGGATTCGCGACTTCTGGCGTATGAGTTTGTGTCGGGCGGCAGCCTCTCCTCACGACTCAGAGGTATGCACGCATACTGCTTGCATCCACGTGTGCACGTACGTGTTGTGCGGAGTACCGAACCGGCCTACAGGTGATGGGGCACGTGCACCACGGGAATCTCGTCTCGTGCGGCTGGTGGGCTACGATATGGTACATGAATGTCGTGGCAATGGCATACTCAAGGCAGTAGGTGCCACAGGCAGGGCATGTATGTGCCGTGGCATGTACTTCAGTACAGTTTAATCAGCTTTGATCGGCCAGGTGCTACCAGGATGATCCCAGAATGTGTTTGTTGTTGGGATTTGACTGTCTCCCCCTCTCCTTCCCGCTTTGGTCACTCGTGCCACCAAGCACACAAGGCAACCAGATGACTGTATTTGGTACTCCACACAGCACGTGGGTGGGAGCACTGCGCGAGGCTGTACCAGGGCATGCATCATTTGTACAGCAATTGGACTATGGAAAATTGCTTTTACGGTTGAGCTTTGACTATCTTCCCCCCTCCTTCCTCTCTCCCCACCAAGCAGACAAGACCAACTCCATGGCAAGGGAGCAACGCGTGCGAGCGGCGGTGGGATGCAGGAGCAGGGCAATCCGCGCGTCATACATCGGGGCATCCAGCCCTTCAGCATCCTGCTCCGTCTCTCCCTCCCTCTATCCCTCTCTTCTCTCCCCACCAAGCAGACAAGTCCAGCCCAATGACATGGGAGCACCGCGTGCGAGTAGCAGTGGGATCCGCCAAGGGCCTGGCGTACCTGCATGAGCAGTGCGAGCCGCGCATCATCCACCGCGACATCAAGCCGGCCAACATCCTGCTGGACGCTGCTGGGGAGGCCAAGATAGCTGATTTCGGGCTGGCTAAAGTCATGCCTCAGGGTGTCAACGACATGACCACCCGGGTGAGAGTCCTTGCTCCCACCGCTGGCTGTTGAGTCGACCCAAACGGCATCGTCCATGCCACATCCTCAAACCCCGGGGTTTAACTCTACATTTCGGCTGTCTTGTTTTCTCCCCTCAAAGTGTAATCAATCCAGGCTTGCCCTGCTTGAAGCGCGTGTCACTAGATGCTCCTGAGGAGGCCGAAATCACTGTTTTTGGACCGGCAAGGTCATGGCATCAGGGTTTAGGGTTAGGATTTAGGGTTAGGGTTTAGGGTTATGATTTAGGGTTAGGATTTAGAACGAGCTGTGCTCAAGGCATTTTGTTTGGCCTCATATATTTTCGCCGCCTGCCATTATCCCCCCCTCAGGTGCTGGGCTCGTGGGGCCATGTGGCTGTGGAGTATGCGGGCAGTGAGGGGGCGGCCTTCCCACACCCCCTTCCCAAATCCCCCCTCCCTTCCACCTCCCCTCTCTCCCTCCCTCGCCCTTCCCCCCAGGTCCTTGGCACGTGGGGCTACGTGGCCCCCGAGTACGTGGGCAGTGAGCGTGTGGGCGTGGCGGCAGATGTGTTCAGCTTCGGGGTCGTGCTGCTGGAGCTGCTGAGCGGGCAGTCGCCACACAACACAGAGGACCTGCTGGAACGGGTGGGTTGACTTGAGTTGTCTGGAGTTGACCTGAGTTGACTTGCGTTGATCTGGATTGAATTCACTAGAAAAACGCCTGTGCTGCTGGAGCTGCTGTCGGGCGATCGCCACACAACACAGAGGACCTGCTGGAACGGGTGAGAATGGTGTTGACTTGAGTTGAAACGGGTGAGTTGGAGTGTGGTGACATGAGCTCTCTAGATACCAATGTGAACTCACACCGTGCTCTCCTGGCCTCTTCCCCCACCTGCCACATCTTACACGTGTCCTCTGCCCCTCCCCGTTCTGCTTGCTCTTCAGTCCATCTGACCTGTGGCTCCATATTCTCCCACCTCGAACTCGTGTATTCCATCATTCCTCTTCTCGTCCCCCCCAGCCTCCACCGCTGCCCCAAGCAGGCCCAGCCGTGTCTATCCAAGGCCGCACTCCGCGCCTTTCCCGACCGCCCCCTGCTGGCAGCATGCGGTGACGAGCCGCTGACCAGCGGTTTGTTGTCCCTCCCTCCTTCCAGGCCGAGGTGTGTCTCTCAGACGGGCGCGCTTGGTTCCTTCGCAGACCCCGTTCTGCTGACGGCGGGGTTTGACGAGGCCCAGTTCATGCTCGTGGTGCGAACTGCGCGGCTGTGCCTCGAGTTCAACTCCGACCAGTGGCCCCGTCCCTGCTGCCAGCTGGCTTCCTTTCGTCGCACCCTCCTCTTCCTCTTCCTCTTCCTCTTCCTCTTCCTCTTCCTCCCCCCCCCCCCCTCCCTCCAGGCCGAGGCTTGTTTATGCGAGGGCGCACTCGACTCCTTCGCTGACCCCACCCTTCTGGCAGCGGGGTTCGACGAGGCGCAGTTCCTGCGAGTGCTGCGCATCGCGCTGCTGTGCCTCGAGTACAACCCCGACCAGCGCCCGCCCATGGCCTCTGTGCTGCGCTTCCTCACCTCGCCCCACGCGCCCCTACCTCACGAGGACAGCCCGCTTGAGCCCATCCTGGAGGGCTTGGGTGATGGTCGTCATGGCGCTGGTGGTGGTGATTTGGGGAGCTCTGATACCAGTGGGGAGGAAGAGGAGGGGAGTATGGAAGAGGGGGGTGGGGGTGAGGGTTTGAGTGGGAGTCGGGTGCGTGGGGGAAGTGGTGAGGGGCAGGAGAAGGGTGATGGGAGGGATGGGGGTGTGTTGGGTAGGAGTGGTGGTGCGGGGATGGAAGATGGGGTGGAGGTGGTGGTTGATGGGTTTGACGATGGGGGAGATGCGAATGGGGCGCAGGTGGACGTGCAAGAGACACTGGCGCTGAACATGGTGCCGTATCACCAGGCGTTCGACATTTCACGGATTGACCTGTGATGATTGCGCCACAAGAGCGTGACTTCCATGTGCATGGTGGTGTACGAGAGCTGTTCGGTTGTTCCTGCTTTTCCCTAACATCAGCTTACCAAATTTGGTACACCAGACCAGACCATGCCATTTTTATTTGAGTTGCTTTTCCCATAATTGACTTCATGCATTATGAGCTCCATTGTTTACTGCTCAGACGTATGTTTCGTATTTTAATGAGCATGTGTTTTGTTAAAAGTAACGGCATTTGCAGCGAAAATATTTCAAGCATCGCTACTGATTAATGGAAGTATTCTAATGTCTTGTTGAGTATACTTTATATCCCAAGGAGCTTACAGAGCTGGCTGTAAAGGGAGTACAGAAATTGTTTACAGCCTGTATGAAGTCTGATTGTAACGCGAAACCAATTCACTCTCCTCTGGGCCTCTGTCCATCTCACGCCATCCACCTCAACTTCTTCCCCACACCAGCCTTCGCAGGGCCAAATTCCTGCCGCCACGCTCGCCATCTCGCATCTGCTGCACCCTCCACTGCGCAGCGTGGCCCGGGCCCTCTTGCCTTACGCTTGTCTCTCGCCGTTTCACCCCCGGTGAAATCTCACGATCGGCCGCAGCGGCAGCAGCATCACCAGCAGCAGCGGCCATGAGGGGTCGTTCGCTCGCCTATCTGCGGGCGTCGCTCAACCGCAAGCGCGCCGAGCCCGATGCCCTCGCGAGGCTCGCAGATCTCACGGTGACCGTCGGATCTGCGCCTAGTATCGGCCATCAAGCCCGCGGCGTGTCTGCGATCTCATCGATCTCATCGCGTGTCGCTCCAGCCGACGCCCTAACGGCTTCTGCCGCGTCTGCCGCTTCGCGTGACGCCAGCTTCGATCCGATCGCCGCACCCTCCGCCATCCACGCCGCCACGACCGCCGCCCGCCATGCGCCTTCAGTCGTCGCCCTCGCGCGCCCCTTCCTCCACCCCACCTTGTCGCCGCCTACCCCGGCCCGCGAGGTTCAAACCTTCTCCGCCTCGCAACTGGCCGCTCGTTACTGTCACAATCAGGCCGGCGATCAGCATCACCTCGCTTCCGCGCTCGTTCCGGCTTCGCTGACCCGCGGCATTCGGCGTGACTCCGTGTCGTCGTATACTCCTCATAATATGCTCCGTTTAAGGAGCCCGTTCCATTCACTAGCCTCTGGCAGAATTAGCGCCTCGGCCAGCAGTACGAGTGACAGTGGCAGCAGCAGTGACGGCGGTAGCAGCAGTGGCAGTACCGCGGGCAGCAGCAGCGGCAGCAGCAGTAGCGCTGCAGTAGCTGACAGTGAGGGTGTGGAACGCGAGGAACCGGCGCACGTTGCGCCGGAGGGCAGCTTGGGCGGGGAGTCTCCCGCAACGGCGGAGAGCAGCGAGGACGCGCAGGTCGCGGGGGAGGGGGGCGAGGGTGGATTGGGGGGGGCTGAGGGGATCACCGGAGGGGAGGGGCGAGGAGGTAACGCTGCACTGCAGAGTGAGTGACAGCGGACTCGTACGACATGGCATAACATGGCATGGCATGGGATGGGATGGGATGGGATGGGATGGGATGGGATGGGATGGGGTGGGGTAGGGTGGGACAGTATGGGATGGGATGGAATGGGATGGGATGGGATGGGATGGGATGGGATGGGAGGGGTTGCGATTTGTTGGGATGAGATGGGAAACCCGAAATCTCAGACCTTCAACCTTAACCCCTCCATTTTTTTCCCTTCCCATCCGCTTCCCGTTCCCTTCCCCTTCCCCCCGCTTCCCGTTCCCCATTACGGCCCCCTCACACCCCCTTTCCCCATTCCCGTCCCGCCCACCTTCCTCCTTCCGTTTCCTTCCCCCTTTTTTTCCACTTCCCCGTTTTTTTCCACTTCCCCGTTTTTTTTCTGTTCCACACCCTGCCCTCCGCTTCCCTCCCTCTCCCCCCTGCCCCCCCGGAGCAGCTGTGGCAGCACGTGAAGCAGCTGCCAGACAGCAACCACGTGATGCCCGTTGTGAAGGCGTTGCGGTCGACTTGAACACTCCACTTCCCTTTCTTCTCTCACTCTCCTCTCCCCACCGCCCCGTCAAACCTCTCTCGCCCCCCTCCTTCCTCCTTCCTTCCCTTTCGTCCCCCAGCCCCCCTGGAGCAGCTGTGGGAGCACGTGCGGCAGCTGCCAGACAGCAACCACGTGATGCCCGTTGTGAAGGCGTTGCGGTCGACTTGAACACTCCACTTCCCTTTCTTCTCCCACTCTCCTCTCCCCACCGCCCCGTCAAACCTCTCTCGCCCCCCCTCCTTCCTCCTTCCTTCCCTTTCGCCCCCCAGCCCCCCTTGAGCAGCTGTGGGAGCACGTGCGGCAGCTGCCGGACAGCAACCACGTGATGCCCGTTGTGAAGGCGTGGGAGAGCAACGGGAACACCGTTGACAAGCGCCTCACCACGCAGGTAATGCTGGTAACATGCGACTGGTTACGTAGGTTACGCTGTTGACAAGCGACTGGTTATGCTGGTTACGCTGTTGACAAGCGACTGGTTATGCTGGTTACGCTGTTGACAAGCGACTGGTTATGCTTGGGTAGTGCTTGGGTAGTGCTTGGGTAGTGCTTGGGTAGTGCTTGGGTAGTGCTTGGGTGGTGCTTGGGTGGTGCTTGGGTGGTGCTTGGGTGGTGCTTGGGTGGTGCTTGGGTGGTGCTTGGGTGGTGCTTGGGTGGTGCTTGGGTGGTGCTTGGGTGGTGCTTGGGTGGTGCTTGGGTGGGGCTTGGGTGGTGCTTGGGTGGGGCTTGGGTGGTGCTTGGGTGGTGCTTGGGTGGGGCTTGGGTGGTGCTTGGGTGGTGCTTGGGTGGGGCTTGGGTGGGGCTTGGGTGGTGCTTGGGTGGGGCTTGGGCGGGGCTTGGGTGGTGCTTGGGTGGTGCTTGGGTGGGGCTTGGGTGGTGCTTGGGTGGTGCTTGGGTGGGGCTTGGGTGGTGCTTGGGTGGGGCTTGGGTGGTGCTTGGGTGGGGCTTGGGTGGGGCTTGGGTGGGGCTTGGGTGGGGCTTGGGTGGTGCTTGGGTGGGGCTTGGGTGGTGCTTGGGTGGGGCTTGGGTGGTGCTTGGGTGGGGCTTGGGTGGTGCTGAGGGAAGTTAATCATCTGATTGCTGGTCTCACCTCATATCCCTCCTCCCTCTCTTTCTCCCCTGTGCCCATCCCCTCCCCGCCACCTCTCTTGTCCCCCTTGGCCCCCGCCACCTCTCTTGTCCATGCCCTCTCTTGTGGGCCGCATGCCTGCGTCTCTCCTGCCCGTGCTCTCCTGTGCCCGCCTCCCTCGGTCGCGCCTCCACTCCTGCAACCCTCCCGTGCCGCTGCACCCCTGCCTGCACCCCCCCCTTGCCGCTCCAACCCCGTGAGCAGCTGATCAAGAAGCTCAAGAACCAGCGACGCCCCAGGCAGGCAGCAGAGGTACGCGTGGCTAGAGGTATCACAGGTTGCGGGTTTTAGGTGGGGATTTTGCAGGGTTCTGCTTTTGGCCTGGGTGTGGGCATGGGTTTTGCAGGTTTCGGATTTTGGGCTACGTGGGGCTAGAGTTTTGCAGGTGAGCAGCAGAGGTGCGTGTGGCTGGGGGTTTTACGGGTGGGCGTGTTGGCAGGGGTTTTGCGGGTGGGGCGGGCTGGCAGGGTTTTTGCGGTTGGGGCATGTCGGCAGTGGTTTTGCGGGTGGTGCGTGTCGGCAGTGGTTTTGCGGGTGGGGCGTGTCGGCAGGGGTTTTGCGGGTGGGGCGTGTTGGCAGGGGTTTTGCGGGTGGGGCGTGTCGGCAGGGGTTTTGCGGGTGGGGCGTGTTGACAGGGGTTTTGCGGGTGGGGCGTGTCGGCAGTGGTTTTGCAGGTGGGGCGTGTTGGCAGGGGTTTTGCGGGTGGGGCGTGTTGGCAGGGGTTTTGCGGGTGGGGCGTGTTGGCAGGGGTTTTGCGGGTGGGGCGTGTTGGCAGGGGTTTTGCAGTTGGGGCGTGTTGGCAGGGGTTTTACGGGTGGGGCACATTGGCAGGGGTTTTGCGGGTGGGGCGTACTGATAGGGGTTTCACAGGTGGGCAGCAGAGGCGCGTGGTAGGAAATTTCAAGTGGCCTGCCAATATTTCCTGCATGCTTCATTGGACTCAAAACTCCTGCTTTCCATTCCTCCTGAGTGTGTATGTCTCTCGCTCCGGGGGACTTTCACCTATCTTTCGCCCAAGGTTGGAGGCTGGAGGCCAGTCACCAGCTGGTTCGTTCAAGGCGCCTGTCTTTCTCCCCCTTTCCTTTAAATTCCTTTCCCCTTCAAAATGCCTTCGCCCTTCAATGCCCCTCCCTCTTCACCCCCCCTCTCCCCCTCTCCCCCTCTCCCCCTCTCCCCCTCTCCCCCTCTCCCCCTCTCCCCCTTCACTCTAAACCCTTCCCTCCGTTACCTATTGGTTCATGTGGCAGCCGCCCTTTCCCTCAGCTCCCACACCCCCCCCCCCCCTCCCCCCGCCCCCACCCCCCCACCCGCCCTTGTGTCCACACCCGAAACCGTGGCTTCTGTTCCGCATGACCCCAGGTGGCGGAGTGGTTCGTGCAGCAGCCGGGCTTCCCCCGCCTGGAGGCGGACTACCAGCTGGTGCTGTCCGCGGTCATCCGAGCGCGCAACGTGGCGGCCGCACAGGCAATGTTCCTCTCGCTGCCTGAGGAGTTCAGGACGGAGAAGGTGAGCCGCCAGGATGGTGAAGGTGAGCGCTTGCATGAGAGGTCCCATGAGAGAGGTCCCACGAGAGAGGTCCCATGAGAGAGGCCCCATGAGATTTCCCATGAGAGAGGCCCCATGAGAGAGGTCCCATGAGAGAGGTCCCATGAGAGAGGCCCCATGAGAGGCCCCATGAGAGAGGCCCCATGAGAGAGGTCCCATGAGAGAGGTCCCATGAGAGAGGCCCCATGAGAGAGGTCCCATGAGTGCGTGCATCTTACAAAGTGGGGCACCGAACTACCACCAGGTGGTGCTGTCTGCTGTGGTCCGAGCAGTGGCAGCGCAGCTGGTGTTCCTCTGCCTCCCAGGGGAGTTGAGGACGGAGAAGGTGAGAGGGCGGCATCCATCCTTGCCTGCGGTCAGAGCACGCAGCACTGCTGTCGTGCCGCGCAGCAACTCTTCCTTTCCAGAGGATTTGACGAGCTAGAGGGTGAGCTCCACTGGCTGCCTTTGTCTTCTCCTATTTCCCCTGTAAGGTAAGTCAACATGAAACGCCACGTGAGACGTCACTTGAGATTGCACCTGAACCGTCTTCTAGCTTACACCACCGTCTCTCCCTGTCCCGTTCTCCCCTCTCTCCCTTCCCTTCCCTACCCTAGGCCCTCTTCCACTGTCCCATGTCCGTTCTACCCAATGCCTCCTTGCCTCCTCTCGGATTACAAACGCTTCCCCCCTCACCCCTGCTTCCCCCCTCACCCCTGCTTCCCCCCTCACCCCTGCTTCCCCCCTCACCCCCGCTTCCTCCCTCATCCCCGCTTCCCCCGTCACCCCCGCTTCCCCCCTTCGCCATCATCACCTGCAGGTGTATCAGCCGGTGTTTGGCCACGTGGCAAGGCGAGGGAGATTCATGTCCGTGGCATCACAGGTAATGCCTGCTCCAGGTAATGCTTACCTCAGATAATGCCTACCTCAGCTCCAGGTAGTGCCTGCTGTGGTAGTGGCTGCTCTAGGTAATGCCAGCTCCAGGTAATGCCTCTCCCTTTCAGGCGTCGAAGCCTTTATCGCTCTCTCGTTCTCCACCCTCCCATTCATTCCCTGTGTCTTCTCTCGGCTTCCTTTCCCTCGGCTTCCTTTCCCTCGGCTTCCTTTCCCTCGGCTTCCTTTCCCTCGGCAACCTGAAACCTGTTCGAACCTGAAACCTGTTCGAACCTGAAACCCCAATGCTTATCCCGGCCCCTCAGCATGCACCCTTGAGTCGACCTTATGCTCTTGCCTTGCCTCAGTCGCTCTCTGCTGCTCGTTCCCATCTCGAGTGGCCGCTACAGCAAGGCATTCCCGAAGCAGCCAGCGCCCCCTTCCAGTGCGCCATCCATTCTCTTCTGCACATTCCCCTCGTGGCTTGACACTCCTTTGCCATCCTTCCTGCTAACGCAGGTGGAGTGGATGCGGCAGGAGGGCGTCCCCTCCTACAAGCCCCAAGCCTTGAACGACACACAGCTTTTGCCCTCCCCTCTTCCCCTCCTCCATCTTCCCCTCTTCCCCTCCTCCCTCTTCCCCTCTTCCCCTCTTCCCCTCTTCCCCTCTTCCCTCTTCCCTTCCGTCCAGGTGGAGTGGCTGCGGCAGCAGGGCGTGGTGGAGGGCATCCCCTCCTTCAACGCGCGCCTGCAGGCGCTGCTGGCAGGCAGGCGGCGAGGGGCGGTGGTGGCGGGCATAGGGGCGATCATGGAGGAGATGAGGAGCAAGGTAGGGAAGGGGGATGAGGGGCAATGCAGGACGGGGGATGAAGGGGGGAGGAGGTAAGACGGGAAGGGGGTGATTGAGGGGACCAGGCAGGGCTGAGGGGGCAGGGGGAGGCGGCGAGGGGACGTGGTGGCGGGCTGGCTTTGGGGCGACCATGGAGGGGGCCAAGGTAGGGCCGGGATTGAGGGGCAAGGTAGGGCGGGGGATGAGGGGAGGTGGAGTGAGGCGGGGCAGGGTGGGAGGAGAGGGGGAGCAAAGTATGGGAGGGGGCGAGGCATGGCTGAGGGCAGGGAGGTGGCAAACGAGAGTGGTGGGCCACTCAGCCATGGCAAAAGAGAGTGGTGGGCCACTCAGCCATGGCAAAAGAGAGTGGTGGGCCACTCAGCCATGGCAAAAGAGAGTGGTGGGCCACTCAGCCATGGCAAAAGAGAGTGGTGGGCCACTCAGCCATGGCAAACGAGAGTGGTGGGCCACTCAGCCATGGCAAAAGAGAGTGGTGGGCCACTCAGCATGGCAAAAGAGAGTGGTGGGCCACTCAGCCATGGCAAAGAGAGTGGTGGGCCACTGCCAGGCGGGGGGGGCCCCACCATGGCAAAAGAGAGTGGTGGGCCACTCAGCCATGGCAAAGAGAGTGGTGGGCCACTCAGCCATGGCAAAAGAGAGTGGTGGGCCACTCAGCCATGGCAAAAGAGAGTGGTGGGCCACTCAGCCATGGCAAAGAGAGTGGGTGGGGGCCACTCAGCCATGGCAAAAGAGAGTGGTGGGCCACTCAGCCCATGGCAAAAGAGAGTGGTGGGCCACTCAGCCATGGCAAAAGAGAGTGGTGGGCCACTCAGCCATGGCAAAAGAGAGTGGTGGGCCACTCAGCCATGGCAAAAGAGAGTGGTGGGCCACTCAGCCATGGCAAAAGAGAGTGGTGGGCCACTCAGCCATGGCAAAAGAGAGTGGTGGGCCACTCAGCCATGGCAAAAGAGAGTGGTGGGCCACTCAGCCATGGCAAAAGAGAGTGGTGGGCCACTCAGCCATGGCAAAAGAGAGTGGTGGGCCACTCAGCCATGGCAAAAGAGAGTGGTGGGCCACTCAGCCATGGCAAAAGAGAGTGGTGGGCCACTCAGCCATGGCAAAAGAGAGTGGTGGGCCACTCAGCCATGGCAAAAGAGAGTGGTGGGCCACTCAGCCATGGCAAAGAGAGTGGTGGGCCACTCAGCCATGGCAAAAGAGAGTGGTGGGCCACTCAGCCATGGCAAAGAGAGTGGTGGGCCACTCAGCCATGGCAAAAGAGAGTGGTGGGCCACTCAGCCATGGCAAAAGAGAGTGGTGGGCCACTCAGCCATGGCAAAAGAGAGTGGTGGGCCACTCAGCCATGGCAAAAGAGAGTGGTGGGCCACTCAGCCATGGCAAAAGAGAGTGGTGGGCCACTCAGCCATGGCAAAAGAGAGTGGTGGGCCACTCAGCCATGGCAAAGAAGTGGTGGGCCACTCAGCCATGGCAAAAGAGAGTGGTGGGCCACTCAGCCATGGCAAAAGAGAGTGGTGGGCCACTCAGCCATGGCAAAAGAGAGTGGTGGGCCACTCAGCCATGGCAAAAGAGAGTGGTGGGCCACTCAGCCATGGCAAGACCCCCCAGAAAGAGAGTGGTGGGCCACTCAGCCATGGCGAAAGAGAGTGGTGGCCACTCAGCCATGGCAAAAGAGAGTGGTGGGCCACTCAGCCATGGCGAAAGAGAGTGGTGGGCCACTCAGCCATGGCGAAAAGAAGAAGTGGTGGGCCACTCAGCCATGGCAAAAGAGAGTGGTGGGCCACTCAGCCATGGCAAAAGAGAGTGGTGGGGCCAACTCAGCCATGGCAAAAGAGAGTGGTGGGCCACTCAGCCATGGCAAAGAGAGTGGTGGGCCACTCAGCCATGGCAAAAGAGAGTGGTGGGCCACTCCAGCCATGGCAAAAGAGAGTGGTGGGCCACTCAGCCATGGCAACAGAGAGTGGTGGGCCACTCAGCCATGGCAAAAGAGAGTGGTGGGCCACTCAGCCATGCAAAAGAGAGTGGTGGGCCACTCAGCCATGGCAAAAGAGAGTGGTGGGCCACTCAGCCATGGCAAAAGAGAGTGGTGGGCCACTCAGCCATGGCAAAGAGAGTGGTGGGCCACTCAGCCATGGAAAAGAGAGTGGTGGGCCACTCAGCCATGGCAAAGAGAGTGGTGGGCCACTCAGCCATGGCAAAAGAGAGTGGTGGGCACTCAGCATGGCAAAAGAGAGTGGTGGGCCACTCAGCCATGGCAAAGAGAGTGGTGGGCCACTCAGCCATGGCGAAAGAGAGTGGTGGGCCACTCAGCCATGGCAAAGAGAGTGGTGGGCCACTCAGCCATGGCAAAAGAGAGTGGTGGGCCACTCAGCATGGCAAAGAGAGTGGTGGGCCACTCAGCCATGGCAAAAGAGAGTGGTGGGCCACTCAGCCATGGCAAAGAGAGTGGTGGGCCAAACTCCTCAGCCATGGCAAAAGAGAGTGGTGGGCCACTCAGCCATGGCAAAAGAGAGTGGTGGGCCACTCAGCCATGGCAAAAGAGAGTGGTGGGCCACTCAGCCATGGCAAAAGAGAGTGGTGGGCCACTCAGCCATGGCAAAAGAGAGTGGTGGGCCACTCAGCCATGGCAAAGAGAGTGGTGGGCCACTCAGCCATGGCAAAAGAGAGTGGTGGGCCACTCAGCCATGGCAAAAGAGAGTGGTGGGCCACTCAGCCCATGGCAAAGAGAGTGGTGGGCCACTCAGCCATGGCAAAAGAGAGTGGTGGGCCACTCAGCCATGGCAGAAAGAGAGTGGTGGGCCACTCAGCCATGGCAAAAGAGAGTGGTGGGCCACTCAGCCATGGCAAAGAGAGTGGTGGGCCACTCAGCCATGGCGAAAGAGAGTGGTGGGCCACTCAGCCATGGCAAAGAGAGTGGTGGGCCACTCAGCCATGGCAAAAGAGAGTGGTGGGCCACTCAGCCATGGCAAAAGAGAGTGGTGGGCCACTCGGGTGGGGCCACTCAGCCATGGCAAAAGAGAGTGGTGGGCCACTCAGCCATGGCAAAAGAGAGTGGGTGGGCCCACTCAGCCATGGCAAAGAGAGTGGTGGCCACTCAGCCATGGCAAAGAGAGTGGTGGGCCACTCAGCCATGGCAAAAGAGAGTGGTGGGCCACTCAGCCATGGCAAAAGAGAGTGGTGGGCCACTCAGCCATGGCAAAAGAGAGTGGTGGGCCACTCAGCCATGGCAAAAGAGAGTGGTGGGCCACTCAGCCATGGCAAAAGAGAGTGGTGGGCCACTCAGCCATGGCAAAAGAGAGTGGTGGGCCCACTCAGCCATGGCAAAGAGAGTGGTGGGGCCACTCAGCCATGGCGAAAGAGAGTGGTGGGCCACTCAGCCATGGCAAAGAGAGTGGTGGGCCACTCAGCCATGGCAAAAGAGAGTGGTGGGCCACTCAGCCATGGGAAAAGAGAGTGGTGGGCCACTCAGCATGGCGAAAGAGGGGTGGGCCACTCAGCCATGGCAAAAGAGAGTGGTGGGCCACTCAGCCATGGCAAAGAGAGTGGTGGGCCACTCAGCCATGGCAAAGAGAGTGGTGGGCCACTCAGCCATGGCAAAAGAGAGTGGTGGGCCACTCAGCCATGGCAAAAGAGAGTGGTGGGCCACTCAGCCATGGCAAAAGAGAGTGGTGGGCCACTCAAGCCATGGCAAAAAGAGAGTGGTGGGCCACTCAGCCATGGCAAAAGAGAGTGGTGGGCCCGCCAGGCAAAGAGAGTGTGGGCCACTCAGCCATGGCAAAAGAGAGTGGTGGGCCACTCAGCCATGGCAAAAGAGAGTGGTGGGCCACTCAGCCATGGCAAAAGAGAGTGGTGGGCCACTCAGCCATGGCAAAGAGGAGTGGTGGCCACTCAGCCATGGCAAAAGAGAGTGGTGGCCACTCAGCCATGGCAAAAGAGAGTGGTGGGCCACTCAGCCATGGCAAAAGAGAGTGGTGGGCCACTCAGCCATGGCAAAAGAGAGTGGTGGGCCACTCAGCCATGGCAAAAGAGAGTGGTGGGCCACTCAGCCATGGCAAAAGAGAGTGGTGGCACTCAGCCATGGCAAGAGAGTGGTGGGCCACTCAGCCATGGCAAAAGAGAGTGGTGGGCCACTCAGCCATGGCAAAAGAGAGTGGTGGGCCACTCAGCCATGGCAAAAGAGAGTGGTGGGCCACTCAGCCATGGCAAAAGAGAGTGGTGGGCCACTCAGCCATGGCAAAAGAGAGTGGTGGGCCACTCAGCCATGGCAAAAGAGAGTGGTGGGCCACTCAGCCATGGCAAGAGATCCACACCATGAAAGAGAGTGGTGGGCCACTCAGCCATGGCCAAAAGAGAGTGGTGGGCCACTCAGCCATGGCAAAGAGAGTGGTGGGCCACTCAGCCATGGCAAAAGAGAGTGGTGGGCCACTCAGCCATGGCAAAGAGAGTGGTGGGCCACTCAGCCATGGCAAAAGAGAGTGGTGGGCCACTCAGCCATGGCAAAGAGAGTGGTGGGCCACTCAGCCATGGCAAAAGAGAGTGGTGGGCCACTCAGCCATGGCAAAAGAGAGTGGTGGGCCACTCAGCCATGGCAAAAGAGAGTGGTGGGCCACTCAGCCATGGCAAAAGAGAGTGGTGGGCCACTCAGCCATGGCAAAAGAGAGTGGTGGGCCACTCAGCCATGGCAAAAGAGAGTGGTGGGCCACTCAGCCATGGCAAAAGAGAGTGGTGGGCCACTCAGCCCGATGGGCACAACAAAGAGAGTGGTGGGCCACTCAGCCATGGCAAAAGAGAGTGGTGGGCCACTCAGCCATGGCAAAAGAGAGTGGTGGGCCACTCAGCCATGGCAAAAGAGAGTGGTGGGCCACTCAGCCATGGCAAAAGAGAGTGGTGGGCCACTCAGCCATGGCAAAAGAGAGTGGTGGGCCACTCAGCCATGGCGAAAGAGAGTGGTGGGCCACTCAGCCATGGCGAAAGAGAGTGGTGGG